AGGAGGGACTCCCTGGCAATACCCTACAGAGCGAGAGACGTAGTGCTGAGGATGCACATCAAGAACCTGCAGGTGGGGGGGAGGCTGGTCTTCCTGGGCCCCAGGGGGAACTGCCCACACTGCGGTGGCCCAGAAACCCTGGACCACTGCATGCTCACCTGTCCTGTCATCCAGCCGGTGATCGGCGCGCTGCTGAGATCGCTGAAAATTATGAACCCGGCAGATCAGACGAAGTCGCTCGGCGACATGCTCTTCTCAGAGGGGGCCACGAAATCCGGTTTTCCGGGGGCGACTTTGACAGCAGTGACGATGCAAAGAATCTGGTTAGCCAGAGTGGATGCGGTGTTCCGGAAGGAGAGGTTCCAACAGAAAAAGGTGGCAAGGGCGGCAATTTACGACTTTATGCGTCATGCGAGGCTGTACAGGGCGGATAGGCTGAGGAAGGCAACAAGGAACAGTGTGCAAGGGCAGACACGGGACCCGTGGGGCGGCCTGGTAGGAGATGAGAGAACGTCGATCGCGAGGATAAGCGAGGCGGGGGAACAGGCCACGTGGAAGGTGGATTTCCTCTCCATTTGGCAAAACCCCAAAACCTTCCACCGTCCACCATAGGCGTGGGCAGGGGGGAGGCACCCGAGCCTCGGCTAGGGTGTATCGTTTCCCTCCAGAATCCAGTTACGACTGTGAATGTATCTGCATTGTTATAGTGCTCTTGCGTTCAAAAAAAAAAAAAACAAGAGGTGACGAAATCGTCTTAAGGTTGCGAAGCATTTTGCAAAGGTACATTAATCTGTAAAGCTAATAGAGTGTACAAAACTTGGAAGTTCCAACAATTATATTGGATTGTTTCCAAAAACAGCTTAACAACGAGCCAACTGGAATCGACCTGGAGATCTTATGGTTTCTAGCCGTTTTGCTTAGGACTCCGCTACAAACGACATGTTTGCTATCATTTTTTTAAATTTATTTGTATAGTTTATGTGCGACGAAATCTGAACTGCTCTAGGGTTTCGACGTCCCTTTTCTTCTGTCTCTCCCACTCGTGAGTGGAGCCCAGTTCTTCATATCAGCCCAGTACTCATGCTCCATCTTCTGCTATCTCCTAAAGGTGGGAAGACTTCTAGCTATTAAGTAGAGACTATGTTAGACGATTACAAGCTATACTAAGATCTTCGTTTACTTCTGCATTTGGTTGTTTTAACGGAACAATAGCTCCAGGCCTTTGTAAGGACGTCAGTTTTCCTTAGGTCGTTAATAGGGCTGCATGTTTTTTTTTTCATTCCCTATCGCACTCTTATCTATCTCTTAGCTTGAATCATTGTCTCTATTTATATGCATTCAGGTTGTTGTTTTTTCCTCTCTTTTTTTCCTTCTAGTCCCATGTTCGTTCCTTACTGATCTCGTTCATTCCGTTTCTTAAGATTTTATCGATTTGTTCCTTCATTTTAATAGATTCCGCATCTAGTGACGTTTGTCTTGGTTTTCGTGACCATTTTTGCTTTATCCGTTCTTCACCCTCTCTCGTTCACTCTCTCACAATCTCACTCTCCCGTTCTCACTCTCCCGTTCTCTCTCTCCCGTTCTCGTTCTCTCTCTCTCGTTCTCTCTCTCTCTCTCTCTCTCTCTCTCTCTCTCTCTCTCTCTCTCTCTCTCTCTCTCTCTCTCTCTCTCTCTCTAATGGTCCGTATATTGATAAGCCAGAAGGGTACACACATACAATGAACAACAGCAGGGTGCTAACATGCAAAGGAGCCTAGGCTAACCAATCCCTCTAAGTCACCTATAGCTCAAGAAGAGGCTCCAGGACAGTAAAACAGTCCCCCAGGTATAATTCCTACCCTATCCCTCCTACAGGTGGGTTCTCTGCAGCAGCTGCCTCCCCTAGTTTGATCATGAGGCCCACGGATTGGGCCCTCTGCAGTGCAACCGACCACCTCTGCCTGAACTGGTGCAGGAACTTCGCGGCATGAAATGATTTTGAGTCGGCGTTGAAGTATCGCCGAGCCGCCGTGTCTGCAAAGAGTTTCAGGAACACAGGAACCTCGGCGCAAGGGCAGCCGTAGGTCTCTACTGCGAGTGGGAAGAAGCCCACTGTCTCTGGCCGGTTTGCGTAGTGCTTTATCTTCTTGTCTGCCTGCTCCCAGGCTGCCCATCCCCTGCCTTTCTGTGCCTCTGGGTCCCTGGTGCTAATAGGGTCCGTGACCATCACATCACACACCCAAACCGCCCCACTACTTCTGTCCGTCATGGTAAAATCTGCTGTTTGCTCCTCGATGGGGCAGTAGACGTTGATTTCCCTGTGAACAATGAATCCCGCGTCTTGCGCCATGCTGATGCATGCGTCGCGGAGTTCGTTGTGGGTATTCGTACGGTGTTTGCCCGTGCCGCAGCGGAAGAGGTGGTTGGGGAGGCGCGGGTCTGTGATAGTGGTGTGGTCTTTGCAATCGCACTGCTTTGGAGTGGAGAAGGGGAGACCCAGCCGGAAACGAACGGCATTGCTGAAATGTACTGGGCCTATGCGCCTTGACTTTGCCACAGGTACCGCCGTCAGCCAGTCCCCTGTCCCGTAGCCTGTGAGCGAGTACATCCTCTGTGTGTGACCGTAGAGCGGGTTCAGCTTCATTCGCCTCGTATCCTGGACTTGCACCGCGTACCTAGTACCCTGGACTTTGAGGGCTAACGCGTGCTGCAGCTTGATTTCCGACCGAGAGAGCCGCTCCTGATCAAGTATTTCACGTGCGTCTGTGGGCATGGATGTCTCGCACTCCGTGAGCCAGGAATGGAGCGGGGTGGTGTTGTCACGGGGCAGAATCATGTGGCTGTGTGCTCGTGTCAGCGCGGTGTCTGGTGCTAGCGTGAGTGAGGAAAAGAACAGAGCTGCCTGTGTGAAGTTGGCTACGAAGCCGTAGACGCCTTCTACAAGTGGGTCCGTGATTCCCAGCCCGCCTAGGGATGATGGAAGCGATGCCTGCGCCCACACTCTCGTCTGCTCCATGCTACAGGTAGGAACTCTAATCCCGCATGATGTCAAGAGCGCGGCTAGAAGGTCTCTTCCCCACTGTGCCCAGGTGTCTCGTGGAAGGAGATTTAGCGGCGTGGTTCTAGTGAGGTAGGCTACACGTCTAGAAATGCAGCGGGTCAGGAGCAAGGAGGCTACTTGGGGTCGGCCCGTTCTAAGAGCGGCAGCGGCTTCGCCATTTCATCTAGTTGCCCCGCTAGGAATTTGGCGGCGCCAGCTGCCGGCCCCAGGAAGCTGCCGAGTAGGCGTATCCCGTCCTTCGAAAACGGGACCTCTGGTGGCAGCTGGGTTGACTTGTCGCCGTTTGTGCTCCAGGCAGCACATTTCTGTGGGTTGTGTTTCAGCCCCAGTTGCGCTAGCTTGCTAGTGAAGAGAGTGAAGGCTGCTACAGTGTCCTTGTCGTCCCCCAAAATTGTGACGTCGTCCGCATATGCCAAGCAGAGTACCTGGAGGTGTGCTGCGGCAGTTTCCCGAAGGGCTGGGTGTATCCCAGCTGCGAACAGTAGAGGGCCGAGTGGGTCCCCCTGCCTCACGCCGCGTTCGTTGTTGAGAGGGTCGCTAGCAAATTTCGAGTTGAGGTACAGCTTCGACAGGTTACCATACGTAAGCCGGACCAGTGGGAGCAGTGACGAAAGGCTGTTGTCGCGTAACCCGTCGATGATTGCCTGGCGCGAAATGCTGTTAAAGGCATTTGAAATGTCGGTCTGTAACACCACGCAGCTGTCTCTTGAGTCGACGAAGGAACGTGCGACATGAATGTTGGCCTCGGCTCCCCCTGGTACTGCCACCCCGTACTGTAGTGGCAGGAAGTGGTCACGTGCAACCTCCCCAATTGCTGTCAGTGCTGCCTTGGCTGCGAGGCGCGTCAGGCATTCGCCAATTGCAATTGGCCGAACCCCCCCCCCCTGGTTTGGACAGCGCAATTAGGCGCGAGGCTGTCAGCAGGTCCCCCACTGGCTCGGGTAATTTGCTTGCCAGGAGGGTGTTAACTAGGGCATGCAGGTGGGTGCAGGTGGGTGTCGACGAAGGAACGTGCGACTTGATCTGCAGGTTCGGGCCAGGTGTTGTTGGCCAGCTCAGCTGCTCGTTGTCGGTTGGTGAGTGTTTCGCGCGGAGTTCATCCAGGATTGCTGGACCCGGCGTGCAGACCGGGGTTGACTCGAGGGCCAGCACGGCTCGGCGTAGACTTCCACGTTTTGCCAGGCCCTCCGCCCTGTTGAGTACTCCCGCCTCGTCGGGCTGGTGACGTGGAGGCGGTGGGGTGTTGATGGCTTCGATTGCGTTAGAATACAGCTGCTCCCATTCTCCACACTGGAAAGCTCTGAGACGAGCTTTGAATTCGGGCCACTTCGGTCTTCTTGGCGACGTTTGGCGAAGTGTGAGCCGCGGCAGAAATAGAAGAAGTTGCCACCCTGCGACCGAGTCCGGATTTCGCGCGAAGTGAAGGAGCGGGGTGAGTAACGCCAGTGAAAACAACTGATATAAACTGGGCAGTAATCGGCGCGACAGGGATGGCTGACGACTGTCGCAAAGGGCCGCCACGTCCCAATCAGCGATGACTGCGAACAGGTCTGTTCGCTTCGCCAATTCCCCTAGCGAGTAGTAGCGGGGGCAATGTGTTTGATTTGTCGTTGCACTGCCATTGCGCGCGGCTTGATTCCTCTGAGGGCGCCTTGGTGCTCCGTCCTGACCAGGGGTTGGAATCGTAGCCGTCCGATTCGCCGGTGGCACTCCTCCTTCCACACCCGTCTCATGCTCGGCAGCTTGCCTCCCAGGCCTTAGACTCCCAGCTTCAACAATTTCTTCCTCGTCACTCTCACTTAGTGGCAGCGGCTCCTCCCTATAAGAAGGGTCCCCTCGATCCTCCTCCTCATTAGCCCGTTCTAGAGCTGTCTCCCTGCCGCCTGGAAGCCATTCTCCGGTCCACCTCCATCACCGCTAGCTGCCACTCTCCCTCTGCCTTGTCCTCCACGGCCCCTCGATGGTGATTGCTGGGCCGACTGATTATTCGCCAATGCGCGCTGGCGCTGTGTCGGTTGCGTACGGAATGCCACCGCCTGCCTCCGGAATGGGGACCATGGCGACGGGCCCCCCAACACTTCCTGCTCCGAAGCCCGTGACAGAACACGCTGGAAACCTTCCTCGCCCCGCACCGTCGTTTCCCGAGGTGCCGGCGTCTTGGCCTGGCGACGGTGGTCGCCAGGCTCCTGTGCTGTCGGCGCCTCTTCCCGTCGCGCCGCCTGTCCCTCTCGCTGCGCCAATTGCTGTGTCTGCGAGTCTCGCTCTTCAAGCTGTCGACCCCGCCGCTCCGTCTGCGGCCACCGAGTGGGCGATTGTTGATGGCGGCGTGCCGGCCCAGTCGGTGGGGTCCGCCACCACTCACGTCCTGGGCCAGCCGGCGCTTCCCGCCGCTCCGGCTCCCCCGTCTGCACTGTCTCCGGCGCTTGCGCCTCCTCTGCTTGTGCTGGCGGGATCTGCTCCTGCACCGCCTGTGGCTGCGCCTCCCGCGCCTCCTGTGGCTGCACCTCTCGCACCGCCTGTGGCTGCTCCTCTCGCGTCGCCTGAAGCTGCTCCCCTTGCGCCGCCTGTGGCTGCTCCGCCTGCAGTGGGTCTGTCCGCGCCTCCCGTGGCTGTTCCCATTGCTCCGCCGGTGGCAAATCCCCCTGTGCTGTCTGCACAGCGTCCGCCGTCTCCTGGCCGTTGTCAGTAGCGGCCTCAATCCCCCGCGCGGCAGGACGAGCGCGAGACGCCCTGGCGCCGCCACATTTCCCCTCGTCGCCGCGGTTCCCAGGCGAACTGGGCAGCGCAACGCGGCGGCCGAGGCGGCTGGTGGGGGCCGCGTCAGCGGGGTGGCGGCTGGGGGTATGACCAGCCGGTAACGATGGCTGACCTGCAGCGCGTGGTATCTGCTGCTGTGTGCGAGGAGCGGAACGGGCAGGCGAGCCAGAGCAACTCCCCGCGTGTTGCTCAGACCCCAGTAGCGCCTCCCCCAACTGCGCCCTCTGCCCAGGCTGCTCCTCGTCCCCCTCCGGTTGTTCCTCCTCCTGGCGCGAGCCGCTTGGTTAGGAGAGCAAACGAACCAGAAACTAAATAATGAGGCTCCAGGACTAGATCCTAGGGCCTTTATACTAGGCTGGGAGTAAGAATCCAACTTCAAACTGAATAATGAGGAGCTAGGCAGGCAGCAAGGCCTTAAATACTAGGGACAAAGGGGAAGGAGAGGCTAAGGACTAGGACTATGCCTCTCTCTCTCTCTCTCTCTCTCTCTCTCTCTCTCTCTCTCTCTCTCTCTCTCTCTCTCTCCTCTCTCTCCCGCTCGGTTGGGAGTAAGAATCCAACTTCAAACTGAATAATGAGGAGCTAGGCAGGCAGCAAGGCCTTAAATACTAGGGAGGAAGGGGAAGGAGAGGCTAAGGACTAGGACTATGCCTCTCTCTCTCTCTCTCTCTCTCTCTCTCTCTCTCTCTCTCTCTCTCTCTCTCTCTCTCTCTCTCTCCTCTCTCTCCCGCTCGGTTGGGAGTTAGAATCCAACTTCAAACTGAATAATGAGGAGCTAGGCAGGCAGCAAGGCCTTAAATACTAGGGAGGAAGGGGAAGGAGAGGCTAAGGACTAGGACTATGCCTCTCTCTCTCTCTCTCTATCTCTCTCTCTCTCTCTCTCTCTCTCTCTCTCTCTCTCTCTCTAATGGTCCTTGTATTGATATAGCAACAAAGTACAAACAGGCAGGGTATGGACGTAACAAAACAAGGCAGCCATACTTACTCACTATTCACCTAGAGCTCCAAAAAGGGCTCAACTACCGTGAAACAGTCCCCTAGGTGTAACTCTTGACCGATCCCCCCCACAGGCGGGTTCTCTGCTGCTGCCGCCTCGCCCAACTTGAGTAGAAGGCCCACCGACTGGGCCCTCTGAAGTGCCACTGACCATCGCTGCCGAAACTGGTGCAGGAATTTGGCGGCATAAAAGGATTTAGAGTCGGCATTGAAATGGCGCCGAGCCGCCGTGTCCGCTAGTAGCTTCAAGAAGGTTGGTACCTCCGCGCATGGGCAGCCATAGGTGTCGACCGCTAGTGGGAAAAAGCCAACCGTCTCCGGCCGGTTGGCGTAATGCTTGATCTTCTTATCCGCTTGTTCCCGTGCTGCCCATCCCCTGCCTTTCTGCGCCTCTGGGTCCCTCGTGCTTATGGGGTCTGTGATGGTGACATCACAGACATAAACCGCCCCACTGCTTCTATCTGTCAAGGTGAAGTCGGCGGTTTGTTCCTCGATGGGGCAATGGACGGCCGACTCGCCGTGAACAATGAAACCTGCGTGCTGCGCCATGCTAATGCACGCATCCCATAGCTCGTTGTGAGTGTTGATGCGGTGTTTGCCCATGCCGCAGCGGAGGAGATGGTTCGGCAGGCGGGGATCAGTGATGGCGGTCTTGTCCGCGCAGTCGCAGTTCTTAGGGGTTGAAAAGGGGAGGGCCAGGCGGAATCGAACGGCGTTGGCGAAGTGTACGGGGCCTATCCGTCTTGTGGGTTCAATGGGGATCGCGGTCAGCCAATCGCCAGTGCCATATCCAGTCAGCGAGAACATACGCTGCGTGTGGCCTGAAAGTGGGTTCAGCCGCATGCGCCTGGTCGCCCGGACCTGTACGGCGTATCTGCTCCCGTGCACCTTGAGCCCGAGCACATGTTGTAGCCTAATATCCGATCGCTCCAGCCGCTCCTTCTCCAGGATCTCGCGCGCGTCTAGTGGCAGGGCCGCTTCGCACTCCTTGAGCCATGTATGCATCAGCGTGCTGTCGTCTCTTGGCAGCAGCATGTGGTTCTGAGCGATCGTCAAAGCATTCTCCGGTTCTAGCGCCAGGGAGGACAGGAATAGCGCCGCTTGAGTGAAACTCGCTGTGAAACCGTAGACCCCTTCTATGAGCGGGTCTGTAATGCCGATGCCACCCAGCGACGTGGGCAGCGACGCCTGCTCCCACACACGCGCTTGCTCGGTGTGACACGTTGGCATGCGGATGTCGCAGGAGGTGAGTAAGGTAGTGAGAAGGTCCCGACCCCACTGGCTCCAGGTGTCGCGGGGGAGTAGGTGGAGCAGTGTCGTTCTAATGAGGTAGGCTACTCGTCTAGAAATGCATCGCGTGAGGAGCAGCGCTGCTACTTGGGGGTCAGCACGTTCTATAAGTGGCAGCGGCTTCGTCATCTCGGCTAGCTGTTCGGATAGGAATTTGGCTGCTCCGGCGTCCGTTCCCACGTAGCTACCCAGAAGCCATACTCCGTCCTTTGAAACCGGCACCCCGGGTGGGAGTTGTGCTTGTGTGACTGTGATCGAGCTCCGGGCCACGCATTTCTGCGGATTATGCGTCAGGCCCAGACGAGCCAGCTTGGCTGTGAAATCTGTGAAGGCTGCTACAGTGCACGAAGTGTCACCCAGGAAGGTGACATCGTCCGCATACGCCAAGCAGAGCACGTTGGGGTGTGCCTCTGCAATCTCACAGAGCGTGGAGTGTATTCCCGCTGCGAACAGTAACGGGCCTAGGGGGTCTCCCTGCCGAACGCCCCGTTCACTTTGCAGCGGTTCGCAGTTGAAATCGGCGTCCAGGAGCAGCTGCGACGGGTTACCGTAGGTCAGTTTTACAAATGGCTGCAGTGGCGAGAGTCCGGGCTCCTGTAACGCAGTAGTGATGGCACGTCGCGAAATGGTGTTGAATGCATTCGAAATATCGGCTTGTAGGACCAGGCTGTCGGGACGGGCATCCAAGAATGCCCTGGCTGCGTGGATTACCGCCTCTGCTCCACCTGGCACTGCCACGCCGTACTGAATTGGCAGGAAATGTTCACGGGCAGCTTCACCCATGGCTATCAGGGCTGCCTTGGCTGTCAGCTGTTATAGTCACAATAGGCTTGAATGTGCCTAAAACGAAAGATAGAGAGCACAGACGGATTTCTGCACAGCGGCTTCAAACGTTGATAGCGTTCTGCTCATAGCTGCAAATGACCTGATTCAAATTGGATCTGGAGCGTCTTCACGTCGTCTACAATTAGCAATTTAGATTGCACGATTTGATAACGAATTGACGACACAGCGTCGGTTTGAACGAACGGTACTATGGCAGCCACTATAGTCTTAGAACACAAGATAGGAAGAGTTACGAGTTGGGAATGACTCCCAGCTCCTACAAACCCCAAGAGCTGAGGTACAGTGATGTGGAACAGTGCCACACTGTCCCCAACCACGAAGGGTCTCGAAACTACCCTTCACTAGGGCCTACACCAAGTGAAATGTTACACTACACAAAGTAATGTAACTATCTTCAATATCTTGAGGTGTACCCTTTTTGGCGAGCTTCGAAATCACTTGAGGCTTGACACCAAGGCTCGGGCTCTTCATCACAAACTCATCCTTGAGTTCTTGATGGGTCTGCTGCACACACCTGCGACACGCCGAACGTTCGACACAGGACAAAATAGAAACCGCGCACGACAAAATAGAAACCGCGCGCGAGACACAAACGACCGCGTAACACGCGTCTAGCGATAACTCGCTATTGACTCGACACACACACTCGACATCATGACTCAACATTCACACACAATTATAAGCATGAAATATATATTATCCCATGCCCTCATACCATTCCATACACACACACATTCACGCACACGGACAACAAGCCGAGTGCAAACCGTAGGGTTGCACCAACAAACTCCCCCTCGGATTGTTGGCCTTAGGATATGTTGCTCTCTCAGTTCAGAGCCATCCCAGCCAGCTTGCAACACTTCCAATGCTGCTGCTCCACCAGCCTCTTGGTCATCATGTCAGCCGGCTGCCCCGTGGTCTTCACGTAGCGCAACTCAACTTCACCCGCGGTTACCATGCTCCTCGTCCAATGCCACTTCACCCTCATGTGCTTCGTGAGTCCATGCAACACAGGGTTCTTAGCAAGAGCAATGGCACCCTGGCTGTCACAGTACAGTGGGGTAGGTCCTTGCTGCTCCTCCCCCAATTCAGCCAACAAACGCCGCTGCCACACAATCTCCCGTACGGCACGGAAGAGTGCCATGTACTCGGACTCCACCGAGCTCAAAGCTTGGTCAACCTGCTTCTTGCTCTCCCAAGCAGTTGGGCCTCCACCAACACAGCATATGAAGCTTCCCACACTTGTCATGTCCTCTGGTTCTGATGCATATGAAGCATCCGAGTAGGCGGTGAGGAACAAACGCCCGGGTTCAACACCATCCGCGCCCTTTTGGCGCCTTTGTGCCGCCGCCGAGTATTGCAGCCCAACGATCGGTGTTTGGCCAAGATACTTGGCCACCCTCATTCCAGCTGCTACCTTCTCCTCATTAGGGCATTGCACAACCCTAGCCAGCTGCCCGGTAGCAAACGCGACGTCCGGTCGGGTGTTTACCGCCGCATACATGAGGCTGCCCACCAACGAGTGAAATCGGCGCCTCTCCTCTTCACCAACGCTCTCCTCCTCTGGTCCCTTCACACACTTGAACCCAGAGGGAAAGGGTGTAGCCACATGGCCTTCACTCTGCCCAAAGTTGGCAGCCAATGCCTCCAGGTACTTTCGTTGATGCACCCGCATGCACCGCTTCTCCACATCTCGTTCGATGTGGAGCCCAAGGTAGAAGCTCACGTCACCAAGGGCCTTGCACTTGAACTTGTCTTGAAGCTTCAGCATCACCTCCTTCACAAGGTCAGAAGAGGGTGAGAAAATGAGGATGTCATCCACATAAACCACCATGAAACTCCTCTGCTCCCCCTCGCCAAGCATGAACAAGGAGTGATCGGCCGTTGAGGGAGTGAAGCCGATCCCCTCCAACACTTCGCGCAGCTTCATGTACCATTGCCTAGGGGCCTGCTTCAGCCCATAGAGGGCCTTCTTCAGCTTCCACACTCTGCCACTACCATCATCAAACCCCTCTGGCTGCGCCATAAAAATCTCCTCCTCAAGGATGCCGTTAAGGAATGCCGTTACGATGTCCATTTGCTTTACTACCCATCCTTTGTTGGCGGCTCCCGCGAATAGGGTTCGCAGCGTCGTCGGCTTCACCACAGGGGCAAACAGCTCCTTGAAGTCCACCTTCTCCTTCTGCTGGTACCCCTTGGCTACAAGCCTAGACTTGTAGCGCTCGATCTTGCCGTCGGCATCCGACTTGATTTTGAAGAGCCACTTGGACGTTATCGCCGTACGCCCCTCCGGTAGCTCCACCAATTCAAACGTGTCATTCTCCTCGATGCTCTTCAGCTCACTCTCCATGGCCTTCTTCCACTCCTCAGCATCACTACTCTCCAAAGCCTCCTTGAGAGTTGCTGGTTCTCCCGGCATCTCCACCGGAGAGAAGAACGCGAAGGCACACTCCTCGTAGTCACTCTCCTCGTCGTCTCCGACCATCATTGCCGCTCCGGCCAGGGCTGTCTTGCCCTGCTTTCCCGGCGCATCATAGGTCAGCCTATTAGGGGGTTGAACTCTCCTCTTCCCCCTTCCTTCCTCCTCAGCTGCAGGGACTTGAAGGCCTTGGCGTTGCTGCGGTGTGGCTCGAATCCGTGGAGCACTCGTAGTACGGGAAGGGAGTGACGGTGCACGCTCGCTCACTTGCTGCACCTCCTCCTCTTCTTCCTCTGCATCATTGGCCTCCTCTCCCCCATTCACAAGGGAGGATTGCCTTGTGGTTGTACTGCCGCTGCTCAGCTCCAAAGGCAGCTCCACATGCTCCAAACCGGAACTCTTCACCTCCCCAAACCGCACGCCTATCTTCGCCTCATTCTCCGCCTTCCAATCCTTGTACATGAAGTTCTCCATGAACTTGCAGTCCCTGCTCACCAAGAACTTCTTGGTGAATGGGTCCCAAAGAAGCCATCCCTTGCTGTTTTGAGCCATGCCCAAGTGCACGGCCCACACCGCCTTGGCACCAAGCTTGTTGTGCCGAAGATGCTTAGGCACGAGCGCCATGCACATGCACCCGAACACCCGAAGCATATCCACCTTTGGCTTCCTTCCTAGCCACTCCACATAGGGCACCCATTTGTCTGCTCCCACATGAGTCAAGGCTCTGTTCTTGGCCACACACGCGCTCCGCACCGCATCAGGCCAGAAATAGTCGGGTAGCCCGGCTTCAATGAGCAACCCGCGTGCCGCCTCCGTGATTGTGCGGTTCGCTCGCTCGGCGATGCCGTTCATTGCAGGGGAGTATGGCATGATGAGGGAGTGCCGAATACCATTCTTCTTCAGCCACAACCCAAACTCCTTGCTCAGGAACTCTCCCCCTCGATCGGTGCGGATTGACTTGACTAGACGGTCTTGTTGCCGCTCCACCATCGGGAACCAATCCGTCTTCAACGTTTCAGCCACGTCGCTCTTCTTGGCCAGCACGTACACCCAAGTCATGCGGGTGTAGACGTCGACAATGGTGAGAAAATACTCAGCTCCAGCAGCTCCAAGCTTCAGGGGGCCCACCACGTCCATCACCACCTCATCAAGCGGTGCCTTTGCCGTTGCCTCCGAACTAGGGAACGGAAACCGGGTGAACTTGGCTTGAATGCACGTCGGGCAGCCAAGCACCTCATCGGGCTCCCCCTTCACACGTATGCCAGCAACCATCTCATTCTTCACTAGCTGCTGCAAGATGGGCAGGGCCACATGCCCCATGCGCCGATGCAAGGTGAGCCAATCACACTCCCCCGTAGCCGAAGTTGGATTGGAGAATGCCGCGCTCGCAATAGCGCCCCACATACTCTCTCCGTAGTCCTCCTGCGCTGCTGCCTCTGGGTTCTCCTCACCCTTTTGCTGCTCCTTGGTTGCTGCACCACTCTCCTTAGGTTCACTGAACTTGCTGGTCCCTCCAGGTTTGCTCTTCTTGAGCTCATTCTCCTTAGCGCGACCGTTCGCGCCATCGTCGCTACCGACCGCTCCATCCTTGGTGCTGATGCTTGCTGCCACTTGCCTCTCCTTAGGCATAGGGACCACTGGGATCTGCCACATCTCGTTGTAGACATCCCTGTCCTCATGAAGGTCCCAAAGAATTCGATCGCCAAGCCTTGCGGTGTAGGTCTTGGCTCCCTTCGAGTTCGTGTCCATGCCGGCCTTTGCCAACCGCCGCACGGAAATCAGGTTTGCAGCAAGGCTGGGCACCCAAAGCACGTTCTTGAGGCCCACCATCTTCCCATCAGCACCCTTGAACATGGCCTTGCCCATGCCTTTCACCTCTGCTCGCTGCCCCAAAGCCGATGTGACATGCTTCACCGGTGACGGCTCGAGTTCGGTGAGCAAGTCCGGGCGAGGTGTCATGCTATAGGTAGCGCCACTATCAATCACCCAATAGTCCAGGGGGTGTAGGGTCACCTTCCCCACAGCTGCTGGCTTCTCAAAGCCTTCATCCTTCTCTGGACCAGCCGGTACTTGCGTCGACACGAAGTAGAATAGACCCGGGTATCGATCGTCGCTCGGGTCCTTGTCGTTGTCTCCGCTCTTCATGTTTGCAGCTCCGCCACCGCGACCGCCACGGCCTCCACGGCCTCGTCCTCTCCCTCCTCCTGCTCCTCTACCCTCTTGGCCTTGAGCAGGGGTCCAACCATCAGGGAGTTTGTAGCAGTCGCGCCACATGTGTCCGCTCTTGTGGCAATAGTGACACTCGCCGTCGAATCGGCCGGGACCGCGTCCGTAGCTCTTGTCGTCGCTGCCGTAACCGCCACTCCTGCGGCCTCCGCCGAAGTTGCTGCCACCAAACCTTCCTCCCCCTCGTCCTCTGCCTCTTCCTCGACCATATCCACGGCCGATGCTCGCTGCCCCAGCGCCATCCGCACTCGCCAACTCACGGCGGCGGAAATCCTCTTGAAGGATAGCTCGCTTCACGTCTTCAAGCGAGAGGCGGGGCAAGTCGCAATTAAGGTTGATGATGAGCGAGGACCATGACTCTGGGAGTAAGGCCAGCAACTTGGTCTTCTTTTGGAGCTCACTGTAGTTCAAATCAGCTCCCTCAAGCCGCGTCAACAAGTCGAAGAATTTCTGCACCCCTTCTTCAACCGCTTCGTCTTCTTCAATTCGTAGTGCCGCCATTTGCCGTTCCAACACCACCGCTACCGCCGCTGTTGCAGGAGCATGTACACCCTTGAGAGCAGCCCATGCCTTTGGTCCTTTCTCTGGTTCACGCTGGAATGGCTTGATGTGACGGATCTGACTGCTCCCCAACGCTTGCCCAAGTAAGAGATAGCCTTGTGCGCTCTTCCGCACCCACGGGCTCTTCTCCGGGTCGTTCTCGGGGCGCTTCTCCGTTCCTTCCATCACCTCCAGCAGGTCATAGTGGTCAAAGATGTTCTCCATCTTGAAGGACCATTCAGCAAAGTTGTCACCGTTGAACTTGTCAAGCCCAAACACCCTAGGCTCATCCCTAGGTGGGCCAAGACTTGGTTGCATGGGCGCCATGGCTGAATCACGGGGTTGGCCTTGAGCTTGAGCTTCTCCACTGCCACCAGCACCTCTGCCACCCCTTGTAGGACCAGGCTGTCGGGACGGGCATCCAAGAATGCCCTGGCTGTGTGGATTACCGCCTCTGCTCCACCTGGCACTGCCACGCCGTACTGAATTGGCAGGAAATGTTCACGGGCAGCTTCACCCATGGCTATCAGGGCTGCCTTGGCTGTCAGCTGTTATAGTCACAATAGGCTTGAATGTGCCTAAAACGAAAGATAGAGAGCACAGACGGATTTCTGCACAGCGGCTTCAAACGTTGATAGCGTTCTGCTCACAGCTGCAAATGACCTGATTCAAATTGGATCTGGAGCGTCTTCACGTCGTCTACAATTAGCAATTTAGATTGCACGATTTGATGAAGAATTGACGACACAGCGTCGGTTTGAACGAACGGTACTATGGCAGCCACTATAGTCTTAGAACACAAGATAGGAAGAGTTACGAGTTGGGAATGACTCCCAGCTCCTACAAACCCCAAGAGCCGAGGTACAGTGATGTGGAACAGTGCCACACTGTCCCCAACCACGAAGGGTCTCGAAACTACCCTTCACTAGGGCCTACACCAAGTGAAATGTTACACTACACAAAGTAATGTAACTATCTTCAATATCTTGAGGTGTACCCTTTTTGGCGAGCTTCGAAATCACTTGAGGCTTGACACCAAGGCTCGGGCTCTTCATCACAAACTCATCCTTGAGTTCTTGATGGGTCTGCTGCACACACCTGCGACACGCCGAACGTTCGACACAGGACAAAATAGAAACCGCGCACGACAAAATAGAAACCGCGCGCGAGACACAAACGACCGCGTAACACGCGTCTAGCGATAACTCGCTATTGACTCGACACACACACTCGACATCATGACTCAACATTCACACACAATTATAAGCATGAAATATATATTATCCCATGCCCTCATACCATTCCATACACACACACATTCACGCACACGGACAACAAGCCGAGTGCAAACCGTAGGGTTGCACCAACATCAGCCTTGTCAAGCATTCGCCTATCGCGATTGGCCGGGCTCCTCCCCCAGGTTTGGCCAGAGCTATGAGCCGTGATGCAGTCAGAATTTTTGCGACCGGGCCTGGCAAATTTCCTCCGAGCATGGTATTGACCAAGGCGTGCAGATGGGTGCTGACCATTCCGTTGGTGATCGCCGCGTCGCGTAGGTGTTCAAATGTCATACCCGAGGGTCCGGCTCCCACCCCGTTCTCACATCTTCCCAGAATCTTGGCGAATTCAGCATGGGTGATGGACAATTTTGACTCGGGTGGCTTGGGCCAGGTCACTGCTTCGGGTACTGCTGGCGGGTGCTTTTGACGCAGCTCTTCCAAAATTTCCGGGCTCGGGGTGCAAACGGGTGTTGACTCCAGGGCCAGCACGGCCCGGCGTAGGCTGCCACGTTTCGCTAGGCCCTCGGCTCGGCTGATGACTCCGGTCGTGGTGTCGTGGCGGTGGGGGTGTGTTGACCGCGTCAACTGCGTCCTGGTACAGCTGCCCCCATTCGCCGCGCTGAAAGGCTCGGAGCCGGGCTTTGACCCCCGGCCAGTTCGGTCGTTGTGGCGAGGTCTGGCGAAGTGTTAGGCGCGGGAGAAACAGCAACAGGCGCCAACCCGCTTCCGATTCGGGGTTTCGCGATAGGTGAAGTAACGGTGTCAGTAGCGCCAGCGAGAACAGTTGGCACAGATTCGGCGGTAAACGGCGTGACAGCGAAGGGTGACGACTGTCGCAGAGTGCTGCGATGTCCCAGCTCGCGATGGTCGCAAACAGGTCTGCTTGCTTCGCCAGTTCGTCAGGCGAATAATAGCGGGGAGTCGGAGTGGTTTGGCGCGTCGCGACATTGATAGTGGTGCTTCGATTTCATCGAGCGCGGCCCGTCCGCGCTGGTGGGATTGGGGTTGGAATTTCACCCGTTCGATCGGCATCGGACGGCTGAAAATCCGCCTGTGCGACTTGCGTGGCTGAGTGTCCTGCCCCTGGTACTCTTCTTCCCTCTGCCTCCCTTGCGCTGCCTTCGTCCTCCGTCCCCTCATCTTCGCTTGGAGGGAGGGATTCTTCCCTATAAGATGGGCCCCTTAGCTCGTCCTCCTCATTAGTTGCCTCCAGGGCCGTTAAAGCCATTCGTGGTGCTGCTTGATACCCGTTCTCCGGACCTCCGCCCGTCCCGCTAGTAACCTGCCTCCTAGCCCCGCGATCTCCTCGCTCTTCGGATGGTGATTGCCGGTGCGTCTGAGCTGCGCCAGAGCGCGCTGCCGCCTGGTCAGCTGTGGTCGCCCAACCTCAGTCGGGGCCCGAAAAGGCGACCACGGTGATGAAGCCCCCTGTACCACCGGCTCCGAAGCCCGTGATAACAGTCGCTGAAAAGACTCGTCCCCACGCACCCGTGGATCCCCTTGCCGTGTCAGGGACTGGCCCCTCTGTTCCTGCTGCTGCTCCGTCCTCTCCGGCTGCTGCACCTGCTCCCCTGGCTCTCTTTGTCGAGCCACCGGTGTCTGCCCTGGCAGGGGTTGTTGCGGATCCCCCTGTTCTTGCCCCCGACGCGCCCGTTGCACCGCCCGCTTCTGTCCCCGACGTGCCTGCTCCGGTGTCTGTTTCGTCGCCGAAGGCGGCGTCCGCCACCACTGGCGGCCCGGCTCCGTTGGTTGCTCCCTCAGCGGCGGGCCAGTCTGCGCTTGCGGCAGTGCCGATGGCCCCGGCGGCCCCGGCAGGTCAGCCGTCACGCCCCCCGTCGCCTGACCGCCGCCTGTCACGCCCCCATTCCCCCGCGCTCCATCAGGAGCGCGCGTCGTCTCGGCGCCGGCGTGACTCTCCACGACGCTATCAGCAGCAATCCCACTGGCCTGCCCAGTCTGGTGGTCGGGGGGGCTGGAGGGGTCCCCGCGGGCGCAGTGGCGGTGGGGAGTACCGTCCGCCCGTGACGATGGCGGATCTTCAGCGGGAGGTGTCGAAAGCAGTGCGCGAGGAGAGGGCCGCGCAGAGCCAGAGCAGTTCGATGCACGCGTCGCCTGCCCGCGCGCCTCCACGTCCGGCTGCGATCCCCTCGAATCCACTGCCTGCTGCTGCACCTCATCCGCAGGTTCCAGCCCCAACGCTTCCTGCTCCCGCTGCCTTGGCCCCTGCTCCTGAAGCGCGCCTTCGTCTGCTGCCGGTTCCGCCCGTGGTGGGAGTGGAATATGTGGCCGCGGGAGGAGGAGCGGCGGGGGCTCGGTATTCTCCTCACGTCGCTGGTGGATCGGCGTTTCTTGCTGCCGATGAGCCGTTTCATTTTCTGGCGGAGGCGCTTCAGCCTCCTCAGACACGTGTTCCTGAGGCGACGCTCGGCCAGCTCTCCCGCCTCGCGGAGAGCCTTCATGCGCTGCTGTTGATTCAGGTGCTTGCTCATGCGTCCCTCCCCGCGATTCCTGCAGAGACGTTCCATGACCGCCCGCGTGAGACGTGCTTGGACGCAACTGACCAGCTCGCCGTGCTGATGGCGCCCGCGTTGGCTGCGCCCGCAGAGGGTGGCGCTGCGGCTGTGGGACAGCTTGACGAGGCTGTCCGGGGCTTGAGGCGACACTTGCGCTCAGGTTCTGGAGCCGCCGCGATCGGCGCAAGTACGCTGGTGGTCCGTGAGCTGTGGCGAACGTTGACGGGCATTCTCCATGCCCTCGGAGCTCACCGGATGTAGATCCGGGCTCCGCTTGCCCCGTTGTTGCCATGGTTGCTTAGGCCGGTGTTGATGCTGCCATTGCGTGTATGACGGTGCTTATAGTAACACGCATGTGTGATCCCTTGCCACCCCTCACGCGCGGCCGAAGGCCGCGCTGTCGAGCGTCGGCCGCCGAAGGCGGCCGCCGTGAGCGAAAATTTTGCTGCCGCCACACAATGAAGAAGAGAGGCCAAGAAAGCCCCTTATATAGCTAGAAGGCCAAGGGCCGAGGGCTGAGGGCAGAGGGCAGAGGCTAGAGTCCTCTCTCTCTCTCTCTCTCTCTCTCTCTCGCTCTCTCTCTCTCTCTCTCTCTCTCTCTCTCTCTCTCTAATGGTCCTTGTATTGCTAGGATCCTCTCTCTCTCTCTCTCTCTCTCTCTCTCTCTCCCTCTCTCTCTCTCTCTCTCTCTCTCTCTCTCTCTCTCTCTCTAATGGTCCGTGTATTGATATAGGAAGGGTACAAGCAACAAACTAGAGATAGTTGGCAATCCTATGACAATCCTATTTAGCAAACAGGTACTAGCTTGCACACCAGCCCTGGTCTAGAGCTCAACCAAGGGCTCAATCACCGCAAAACAATCTCCCAAACGAAATCCAGCCCCTATTCCACCCACTGGTGGGTTTTTTGCTGCAGCGGTTTCACACGACTTGATAAGGTAACTGACGGATTGAGCTCTTTGCAGGGCTACCGACCACCTTTGCCGAAACTGATGCAAGAACTTAGCAGCATGAAATGATTTTGAGTCGGCGTTGAAGTGTCGCCGAGCTGCTGTGTCTGCTAGTAGTTTCAGGAAAACCGGCACCTCTGCACATGGGCAGCTGTACGTCTCGACCGCCAGAGGGAAAAAGCGCACCGTGTCTGGCAGATTGGCATAGTGCTTGAGCTTCTTGTCAGCCTGCTCCCGTGCTGCCCATCCTCTTCCTTTCAGCGCCTGCGGGTCCCTAGTACTGATGGGGTCGGTAATAGTGACGTCGCACACGTACACCGCGCCGCTGCTTCTGTCCCTCATGGTAAAATCGGCAGTTTGCTCATCGACCCGGCAGTACTCCGCTGTTTCTCCATGTACTATGAACCCAGCATCCTCAGCCATGCTGATGCAAGCATTGCGTAGCTCGTTATGAGTGTTGATGCGGTGCTTGCCTGTCCCTCATCTGAACAGGTGGTTGGGAAGGCGCGGGTTAGGTATGGCGGTATGCTCTGTGCAGTCGCAGTTTTTGGGTGTTGACAAAGGGAGACCCAGCCTGAAGCGCACCGCGTTTGCGAAATGGACGGGGCCAACACGACGTGTGGTTGCTATTGGAATGGCGGTCAACCATTGAGAGAGAACATCCGCTGTGTGTGCCCGGAAAGCGGATTCAGTCGCATGCGCCTGGTTTTTCTTACTTGAACCGCGTATTTGCTCCCTTGAACCTTGAGTGCCAAGGCATGCTGCAACCTAATGCCCGTTGGCTCTAGTCGCTCCTTCTCCAGCACCTCGCGGCCGTCGGTGGGCAGAGATAATTCACATTCGGAGAGCCACGCGTGGAGAGGCGTGTTGACATCGCGGAGCAACAGCATATGGTTCCTGACCGTCGAGATTATGCCGTCTCCTTCATGCGCCAGTGAGTCTATGAAAAGCGCGGCCTGGCAGTAACTAGCGAGGAATCCGTAGACACCTTCCACGGTCGGGTCTGTGAGTCCAATTCCGCCAAGTGACGGCGGGAGAGATGCCTGTGCCCACACCCGCTCCAACTCTGAGCTACTCGAGGGGATACGGATTCCGCATGCGGTAAGCAAGGTGGCTAGGAGATCCCTTCCCCACTGGGACCATTTGTCGCGCTCTAGCAGGTTAATGGGTGTGGTTCGGGTGAGATATGCGGCGCGACGGGAGATGCAGCGGGTCAGTAAGAGAGAAGCTACCTAGGGATCCGTACGCTGTAGGAGTGGCAGTGGCTTCGCCATATCCTCTAGCTGTGCCGCCAGAAATTTTGCCATGCTTGCTGGAGGTCCTAGGTAACTACCAAGAAGGCGGACCCCGTCCGCCCTGAATGACACGCCAGAAGGAAGTGAGGTCGTGCAGTCTGTGTTACGGTGCCACGCTGCACATTTCCCGGGGTTATGCGTGAGCCCAATGTGTGTGAGGCTGTCAGTGAAATGGGTGAAGGCGGCTACGGCAGCGTCAGTTTCTCCCATGAAAGTGACGTCGTCAGCGTAGGCGAGGCATAGGACTTGTGGGTGTGCGATAGCGGTTTCACATAATGCAGGGTGTATTCCAGCAGCGAAGAGCAAGGGGCCGAGGAGGTCCCCTTACCGAACTCCTCGTTCGCTGATCAGAGGTTCGCAGTCGAACTGTGCATCTAAGTGGAGTTGCGACGGGTTACCATAAGTCAGTTTGACTAGCGGGAGCAGTGGCGAAAGGTTGGGGTCGTGAGATACTGTTGAACGCGTTCGAAATGTCCGTCTGCAGTATGACGCTATCTGGGCGTGCGTCTAGGAAGGCCCGGGCGGCATGAATGATTGCCTCTGCTCTACGTGGCACAGCCACCCCGTACTGTAGTGGTAGAAAGCATTCACGTGCGGCCTCGCCCATGATTGTCAGGGCCACTTTCGATGCCAATCGGGTCAGACATTCGCCGATTGCTATTGGTCGTGTTCCTCCTCCGGGCTTGGACAGAGCGATGAGGCACGAGGAAGTCAGCAAGTCAGCCACTGCTGGCGGTAATTTCCCGGTCAGCACTGTGATTACCAAGGCGTGCAGGTGGGTGCTGACCGATGCATTAGTTATTGCTGCGTCGCGCAGGTGCTCGAAGGTTGTGCCCGATGGTCCGGCGCCCACCCCATTCTCGCATCTGCCCAAGAGTTTGACGAATTCTCCATGGGGGATGGTCAGACACGACGCTTGTGTGGCCGGCCAAGTCAGCGCCTCGGGCCTAGCAGGCGGGTGTTTCTGTCGAAGTTCCTCCAGGATAGCTGGACTGGGTGTACAGACCGGTGTTGACTCCAGTGCCAGCACGGCCCGTCGCAGGCTGCCTCGTTTCGCCAAACCTTCGGCTCGGCTAATCACGCCGGTCTCATCAGGCTGGTGACGTGGCGGTGGAGGGGTGTTAACTGCGTCCACGGCCTCGGTGTACAGCTGCTCCCATTCGCCACGCTGGAACGAACGGAGCCGAGCCTTGACTTGGGGCCAGTTCGGTCGTTTGGGCGAGGACTGGCGAAGGGTGAGACGCGGGAGGAAAAGAAGCAAGCGCCATCCAGCTTCAGAGTCAGGGTTTTGCGAAAGATGAAGGAGTGGGGTTAACAGCACCAGCAAGAACAGCTGGCACAGATTTGGCGGTAAACGCCGTGACAGTGTTGGCTGTCGGCTGTCGCAGAGTGCCGCAATGTCCCAGTTCGCGATCCCAGCGAACTTGTCTACTCGCCTCGCCAACTCATCTGGCGAAGAGTAGCAGGGATTTTGTGGGCTATGTCATACCGCTGATTCATCACGGGCGGGACGAATTCCTCGAGTGCGGCTCAGCCTCGCGTTGCGAGGAAGGGTTGGAAACGTGGCCGTCCGATCGCCATCGGTCGGCCCTCCTTCCTCTCCGCGTCCTCGTGATGCACCTTGGCCATCCTCCCTCTCCGTTCTCTCTCTTCCAGCAGAGTCTCGGTTCCCTTCGCTCTCCCCATCACTGTCCCCTTCCTCCGCAGGGACTAACTCCTCCCTATAAGTAGGGTCCAAAATTTCTTCCGCTTCATTAGTCTCTTCAATCTCGGTTAAAGCCCTACGTCCAGCCGCCTGAAACCCGTTCTCCGGACCTCCGCCTACTCCACTCGCTTCCTGCCGACCGACACCCCGGCCACCCCTTCCTCGGGATGGTGATTGCTGGAGGGCCTGAGCTGTTTGAATTGCGCGCTGTCGCGGCGTCGGCTGCGGTCACCAAATTTTAGGCTGAGCGCGAAAAGGTGACCACGGCGATGAAACCCCCTGTGCCGCCGGCTCCGAAGCCCGTGACAGCAGTCGTTGGAATGCCTCTTCCCCTCGTACCCGAGGCTCCTGCTGCCGAGACTGCGCCCGCCCAGTCTGCGCCTATCGTTGCTCCTGTTGTTGCCCCGGCTACTCCGACCGCTGCTGCCGTTCCCCTAGCTCCTCCTGTTGAGCCCTCGGTGTCCGCCCTGGCGACTGGTCTTGATCCGCCTGTTCCTGTCCCTGCCGCACCTGTTGCACCGACTGCTGCTGTCCCCGCTTTGTCGGCGCTTGCCGCTGCTTTGTCATCGCAGGAGGCGTCCGCCACCACTGGCATCCCGGCTCTGCTGGTTGCGCCCTTGGCGCCTGCTGTGATGCCGGTTGCCTCGGCGGGTCAGCCGTCGCGCCCCCCCTCGCCTGACCGCCGCTCGTCTCGCCCACATTCTCCTGCGCTCCACCAGGAGCGGGCGTCGTCACGGCGTCGGCGTGATTTTCCTGGGCGCTACCACCAGCAGTCTCACTGGCCTGCTCACTCCGGTGGCCATGGGGGCTGGAGGGGTCCCCGTGGGCGTGGTGGTGGTGGGGCATACCGCCCGCCCATGACAATGGCGGATCTTCAGCGGGAGGTGTCGAGGGCCGTGCGCGAGGAGAGGGCGGCGCAGAGCCAGAGCAGTTCACTGCGGGCCGCGCCGGCGCATGTGGCTCCTCGTCAGGCTGTGCTTCCCGTGGACCTTCCGCCGGCTGCTGCACTTCCTCCTCCTGTCCTTGCCCCATCGGCTCCTGCTCCTGCTGCCTCAGCTGCTGCTCCTGGTTCTCGTCTTCGCCTGCCGCCCGTTCCGCCGGTGGCGGGTGTGGAATTCGTTGCCGCCGGTAGCGGAGCGGTGGGGGCGCAGTACACTCCTTATCTTGCTGCTGATGAGCCGCTTCCATTCTTGGCGGTGGCACTTCAGCCCCCGCAGACCCGTTTTCCTGAGGCGACGCTCGGCCAGCTGCACCTTCTTGCGGAGAGCCTTCACGCGCTGCTGTTGATTCAGGTGATGGCTCACTCGTCCCTCCATGCGATCCCTGCTGACACGTTTCATGACCGGCCGCGCGAGACTTGCCTGGACGCGGCGGACCAGCTCGCACAGCTGCTGGTGCCCGCGTTGGCTGCGCCCGCAGAGGGTGGCGCTGCGGCTGTGGGACAGCTTGACGAGGCTGTCTGGGGCTTGAGGCGACACTTGCGCGCAGGATCTGGAGTCGCGGCGATCGGCGCAAGTACGCTGGTGGTCCGTGAGCTGTGGCGGACTTTGACGGGCATTCTCCATGCCCTTGGAGGTCACCGGATGTAGATCCGAGCTCCGCTTGCCCCGTTGTTGCCATTGTTGCTTAGGATGGTGTTGATGCTGCCATTGCTTGTATGCCGTTGCCTATAGTTACTCGGGTGTGTGTTCCCTTGCCGTCCCCTCACGCGCGGCCGAAGGCCGCGCTGTCGAGCGTCGGCCGCCCGCTCGCTTAGGAGAATAAAAAACCGAACAATGAGGAGAGTGAGCACGCAGACAGAGCTATATACTAGGCTGGAGAGGGCCGGGGAGGCTAAGGACTAACTACTAGGGCCTCTCTCTCTCTCTCTCTCTCTCTCTCTCTAATGGTCCTTGTATTGATATAGTCGGCAAGTACAAGCATGCAAGTCATAGAGTCGTAGGTAACACACATGTAAAGCACAAGCACCACAGATCTACAACTCCACTAGGGGCTCAATGACTGCGAAGCAGTCCCCAAGGTGCAACTCGTCCCCAATTCCCCCCACAGGCGGGTTCTCTACTGCCGCAGCCTCTCCAAGCTTGAGCAGGAGGCCCACTGATTGGGCCCTCTGCAGGGCCACCGACCAGCCTGAACTGGTGCAGGAACTTTGCAGCATAGAACGATTTGGAGTCGGCGTTGAAGTGGCGCCGAGCTGCAGTGTCCGCCAAGAGCTTCAGGAAGACTGGCACCTCCGCGCAGGGGCAGCCGTAGGTGTCCACCGCAAGTGGGAAGAACTTCACCGTCTCTGGCAGGGTGGCGTAGTGCTGGATCTTCTTGTCCGCTTGCTCCCGCGCCGCCCAGCCCCTGCCTTTCTGCGCCTCTGGATCCCTAGTGCTAATAGGGTCGGTAATGGTGACGTCGCATACGTAGACGGCCCCACTGCTTCTTTCCGTCATTGTAAAATCAGCCGTCTGTTCCTCAATGGGGCAGTGCGCCGACGACTCGCCGTGGACAATGAACCCCGCGTCTTGGGCCATGCTAATGCAGGCATCACGCAGCTCGTTATGGGTGTTGATGCGATGCTTGCCCGTGCCGCAGCGGAGTAGGTGGTTAGGGAGGCGGGGGTCCGTGATGGCGATGTGGTCAGCGCAGTCACACTTCTTCGGTGTGGAGAAGGGGAGGGCCAGCCGGAAACGCACGGCATTAGAGAAGTGAGTGGGCCCAATCCTCCTGTTGGCCGCAATGGGGATAGCGGTCAGCCAATCCCCGGTCCCGTAACCGGTCATTGAGTACATCCGCTGCGTGTGTCCGCACAGGGGGTTCAGCGCCATCCGTCGTGTCTCCTTGACCTGTGCGGCATATCTGCTCCCATGTACCCTCAGTGCCAATGCGTGCTGGAGCCTGATGTCTGATCGCTCCAGCCGCTCTTTCTCCAGGATCTCCCGTGCGTCTTCCGGTAAAGCCGCTTCGCACTTCGATAGCCATGCGTGGAGAGGCGTGGCGACGTCTGCAGGCAGCAGCATGTGGTCCCGAGCCTGCGTCAACGCGCCATCAGGGGCGCCGTCTAGTGATGCCAGGAAAAGCGCGGCCTGTGTGAAGCTCGCTGCGTACCCGTATACTCCCTCGATTAGGGGGTCGGTAATGCCTATCCCCCCCAAGGACGGCGGCAGTGAGGCCTGCGCCCAGACACGTGCTTGTTCAATGCGGCAGGTGGGCACGCGGATGCCGCATGCTGTGAGTAGCGCTGCAAGCAGATCAGTGCCCCACTGACTCCAGGTGTCGAGAGGCAGAAGGTGAAGCGGTGTCGTTCTGGTGAGGTATGCCACCCGCCTCGAGATACAGCGGGTGAGCAATAACGATGCTACCTGGGGGTCGGCTTTCTCAAGGAGTGGCAAGGGATTTGCCATTTCCCGTAGCTGACCCGACAGGAACTGTGACGCCCCGCTGTCAGGGCCCACGAAGCTTCCCAGGAAGCGCACGCCGTCGTGGGAAAATGGGACTCCCTGCGGCAGCTGATCCTTCACTGCTTCTTCCCTGCTCCAAGCTGTGCATTTCTGCGCATTGTGTCTTAGCCCCAGGTGCGCCAACCTCTCGGTGAAGTGATTGAATGCGGCTACAGTGTCCGCCGCCTCCCCCAGGAATGTGACATCGTCGGCGTAAGCCAGACAAAGCACATGGGGATATGCCTCAGCAGTGTCGCGAAGTGCTGGGTGTATTCCCGCCGCAAACAGTAAAGGGCCAAGTGGGTCCCCTTGACGCACGCCCCGTTCGCTGGTCAGCGGGTCACATTCGAAATTTGCGTCGAGGTGCAACTTAGACGGGTTACCGTAGGTCAGTTTCACCAGCGGCACTAGTGACGATAGTCCGGGTTCTTGTAACGCCGTCGCGATAGCTTGTCGGGATATGCTGTTGAATGCATTCGAGATGTCGGTTTGCAGCACCAGGCTTTTGGGTAACTTGTCCAGATACGCCCGCGCCACGTGGATAACTGCCTCGGCTCCTCCTGGCACAGCCACACCATACTGTAGAGGCAGGAAATAGTCACGTGCAGCATCGCCCGTGGCTGCGAGGGCTGCCTTGGCTGTCAGCCGAGTGATGCATTCGCCAATCGCGATTGGTCGAGCCCCCCCACCAGGTTTGGCCAGGGCTATGAGTCGCGAGGCTGTTAGTAGGTCCGCCACCGGTGCTGGTAGGTTGCCCCCCAAAATGGTGTTTATCAATGCGTGCAGATGGGTGCTGACTCGCCCGTTCGTGATTGCCGCGTCGCGCATGTGCTCGAAGGTTGTTCCCGAAGGTCCGGCACCGACCCCGTTCTCGCACCTCCACAGTAGTTTGGCGAAGTCAGCGTGGGTGATGGATAATTTTGACTCGGGCGTGGGTGGCCACGTCGTTTGTCCTGTTTCGGCTGGCGGATGTTTCCGTCGGAGCTCCTCCAGAATTTCTGGTGTTGGTTTGCAGACTGGCGTTGACTCTAACGCCAACACGGCTCGGCGCAGGCTACCACGTTTTGCCAGGCCCTCAGCTCGGTTGATGACCCCGGTAGCATCGGGCTGATGACGTGGTGGCGCGGGTGAGTTGACTGCTTCAATCGCGTCCTTGTACAGTTGGTCCCACTCACCACGCTGGAAGGCTCGTAGCCGGGCCTTGATCTGGGGCCAGTTCGGTTTCCGTGGCGAGCTTTGGCGAAGCGTCAGACATGGCAGAAAGAGGAGAAGGCGCCAACCTGCCTCTGATTCCGGGTTTCGTGACAGGTGGAGTAACGGGGTCAGTAGCGTCAGCGAAAACAACTGGCACAAGTTTGGCGGTAACCGCCATGCCAGAGATGGCTGCCGACTGTCGCAGAGAGCAGGGATATCCCAATTCGCGATGTCCGCGAACCAGTCTGCCCGCATCGCCAGCTCCTCTGGCGCGAGATAGCGAGGGTGATTGGGATTTTCTCGCACCGCCGTCGTGTCTGTCGCGGCCCGATGTCGCCTGGTGCGTCCCGTCCTCGCTTGTGATGTTGTGGTGGGAATTTCGCCCTGTACGATTGGCATCGGACGGTCCACCAGCGGTGTCCCTTTGCTCGTCAAGGGACTGCCTTGGTCTTGCTCCCGTCCTCCTCCCGTTCTCCCTTACTCCTTCCTCTCCTTCCGTCCCTTCATCTTCGCTCGAGGGCATGGGCTCCTCCCTATAAGAGGGGTCCGTTCCCTCTTCGTCGTTATCTAGCCTGGTTAAAGCCCTTCGTGCCTCCGACTGATAGCCGTTTTCCGGCCCTCCTCCCTGTCCGCTAGCTGCTTCACGCCCTCCGCCTCGCGCTCCTCGGTCTCGCGATGGTGATTGCTGGTGTGACCGATTACTCGCCAATGCGCGCTGGCGCTGCGTCGGTTGCGTTCGGAAAGCCGTCGTCTGCCTCCGGAGCGGGGGCCATGGCGACGGGGTACCCGCCGCCGTCTGCTCCGAAGCCCGCGACAGTAGACGCTGAAAAGACTCCTCCCCTCGTATCCGGGGGTCCTCACGACGTGAACGAGGCTGCGCCGTCTGCGCCGGTTGTTGCTCCTCCCGCTCCGACTGTCGCTCCTGTTCCCCCTGCTCCCGTTGTGGCGCCGACGACGGTTGCTCCTGCTGGGGAGGTTGCTGTTCCCCCTGTCCCTGTCCCTGGCGCTCCTGGTGCACCTGTCGTTTCTGTCCCCGGCGAGCTTGCGCCGGCGTCTGCTTCTTCCCCGAAGGCGGCGTCCGCCACCACTGTCGGCCCGGTCCCGATGGTTGCGCCTCCCGGTGCGAACCTGATGGCTCCCGCTCTGCCGCCAGCAGTCCCTGTTGGTGAGCCGTCTCGTCCCCCGTCGCCTGACCGCCGTCTCTCCCGGCCCCATTCTCCAGCGCCCCAACAGGAGCGCGAGACGTCGCGGCGCCGGCGCAACTCCCCTCGGTGCTACCAGCAGCAGGCCCAGTGGCCCGCTCACCCGGGTGGCAATGGGGGCTGGAGGGGTCCCCACGGGCGTGGTGGCGGCGGGAGGTATCGTCCGCCCGTGACAATGGCGGATCTTCAGTGGGAGGTGTCCCGGGCCGTGCGCGAGGAGAGGGCGGTGCAGAGCCAGAGCAGTTCGCTGCGGGCTGCGCCAGCGCCCGTGGCTCCTCGTGCGACTGTGCCTCCTGTGGTCCTTCCGCCGGCTGCTCCACTTCCTCCGCCTGTCCCCGCCCCGTCAGCTCCCTCTCCTTTTGTAGCGGCGCCAGCTCCCGGCTCTCGTCTGCATCTGCCGCCGGTTCCGCCTGTTGCGGGGGTGGAGTTTGTGGCCGCGGGTGGTGGTGCGGCAGCGGCTCAGTATGCAGCTGATGAGCCGCTCCAGTTCCTGGCGGAGGCGCTTCAGCCTCCGCAAACGCGTGTTCCTGAGTCGACTCTCGGTCAGCTCCACCGCCTCGCAGAGAGTCTCCACGCGTTGTTGCTGATACAAGTCCTTGCTCACGCCTCACTCCATGTGGTCCCTCCTGAGACGTTCCGCGACCGTCCGCGCGAGACCTGCTTGGATGCGGCGGACCAGCTCGCAGTGCTGCTGGCGCCCGTGCTGGCTGCGCCCGCGGAGGGTGGCGCTGCTGCTGCGGGACAGCTGGACGAGGCTGTCCGGAGCTTGAGGCGGCATTTGCGCGCAGGATCTGGAGCCGCGGCGATCGGCGCAAGCACGCTAGTGGTCCGGGAGCTGTGGCGCTCCCTGACGGGCGTTCTTCACGCCCTTGGAGCTCACCGCATGTAGTTGCGGGCTCCCCTATATCTGTTCCCGCCATTCTAGGCCTCTATGTGTGATGCCATGTATGTATGTCAACTCAGTAATGTAGATGTTTGCGCGGTGTGCCCTTGCCGTCCCCTCACGCACGGCCGAAGGCCGCGCTGTCGAGCGTCGGCCGCCGAAGGCGGCCGGCGCGAGCCGCTCGGTTAGGAGAGCACACGAACCAAGAACTGAATAATGAAGCTCCAGAAATAGATACCAGGGCCTTTATACTAGGCTGGGGAGGGCTGGAGAGGCTATGGACTATGCCTCTCTCTCTCTCTCTCTCTCTCTCTCTCTCTCTCTCTCTCTCTCTCTCTCTCTCTCTCTCTCTCTCTCTCTCCCGCTCGGTTAGGAGAGCACACGAACCAAGAACTGAATAATGAAGCTCCAGAAATAGATACCAGGGCCTTTATACTAGGCTGGGGAGGGCTGGAGAGGCTATGGACTATGCCTCTCTCTCTCTCTCTCTCTCTCTCTCTCTCTCTCTCTCTCTCTCTCTCTCTCTCTCTCTCTCTCTCTCTCTCGCTCTCTCGCGCTCGCTTAGGAGAATAAAAAACCGCTCAATGAGGAGAGTGAGCACGCAGACAGAGCTATATACTAGGCTGGAGAGGGCTGGGGAGGCTAAGGACTAACTACTAGGGCCTCTCTCTCTCTCTCTCTCTCTCTCTCTCTCTCTCTCTCTCTCTCTCTCTCTCTCTCTCTCTCAAGCAGTCCTTCCTTGATAGGTTCATAGAGGTACAGGCATTGGCAAGAGCAAAGTATAGAACAGGCCTAATCCTATGAGCAACCAGTTATGCGAGGCAGGGCCAAGGTAGGCACAACAAGTAGCCAGTGGGAGGTCGGGCTAGCAAACCAATCAGTACCAGCAGGTCAGGACCTTGAGGGCAGAAGAGGAAAGGCAAGGCAAGGCAAGGCACAAACAGGCATGGTAGGCAGACAAGGCAACTCCAAGCCGAGCAAGGCAAGCAAGGCCAGGCAAGGAAGGCAAGGCAAGGCAAACAAGACAAGACAAGACAAGACAGGCAATGCAGGTGGCTAACACTCAGCTAGACACCTAGCCCGCAGCTATCCTGCTTACTGACCCATCACCCCGTCCATCTCATCCTCGAGGACCTGCCAGAGGTCCCCTAGGCAGGTTCCCAAGGGTCCCTAGCCGTCTATGAGAAGGCTGCCACGTCACCTATGTTAGACTTGTTCAGGAATGACGTCGCCTGTGAGCGCTGGAGCATGACACTGAAGCACTGCCTGTAGTGAGCGGTGAGCCGTGCAGTGGTGGTGGTGAGCCTCCCCTGGGGAACCTCCTTTTTGCCGCCGAGGTTGCTAGCAGGCGGATAAACTGTTGTGTATCCGTAGCTAAGGCACCGTACGTCTCCACTGCCAACCCAAAGAAACCCACGTAATCAGGCCGCCCCTCATAGATCCTGTGTTTCCTCTCCGAGGCTTCCCTTGCCGCCCATCCAGGAGGCTTCCGAGCACGTTTGTCGCGGCACTGCAGCACTGGATCAATCACCGTCACGTCGGTGGGGCACTGCAGCACTGGATCAGTCACCATGTCTCATTCGACTCCTTGTCACGAATAGCAAGATCACCTCTCTTCCTGATCACCGGTGGGGAGAAGGTAGTAGTTTCATGGAAAACGATGAAGTCGGCCTCCTTTGCCATCCGGAGCAGAGCGAACACAAGGGCATTGTGCGTGCGGATGACATCTCCCCCGTAACCACACCGCAAGAGGTGGTTTGCTAGGCTCGTGTCGGTGATTGCTGTGTTGGCACGCTTGCATGGGCAGGCAACTGTGACTGGAAGGGCCATGCCGAGGCGGAAGCCAAGTGCCAACGAGTACTGACCAGGGGCAAATGTAAGGTCAGATCTCGTTGGGATGGCATGGAGCCAGTCCCCCGCTCCCACCCCTTGCAAGCTGATGAGCCGCACTGCGTGCCCCCGGTCCTTCCCTGGGCGGTCCTCTATCGTGTCAGCCAGCAGCTCCGCCGCCCTTGTCTCGTTGATGTGGCGAGACAGGGTCAGTTGAAGGTTCCCTTGCCCTGCCGGCTGCTCCCTGTAGGTGTGTAGTGCCGCCCGTGCAGCCATGGGCAGCCCAGCTTCCAGTGGTGTCAGGGGGTTGATACCAGGTGGGTCAGGGGTCCACTCGTGGTTCAGCAGCTCGACCGCCCTGCTCAAGAGGTAGGCCTCAGGTAGGTTCATCTGCCGTAAAAGTTGCTGCGCCTCCGTGACCGAGGCAATGTAGGCGGCAGGTGCCTCTAAGACTGGGTCAATAATCCCCAATCCCCCCAACCTGACCGGTAAAGTTCCCTGGCGCCACAACAGACTCCTCTCCAGCTCGTTTGGGGGTACCCGAAGTTTATCCGCTGCTAATGCTGCTGCCATCAGTGTTTCACTCCAGCCGCTCCACCCCTCTCTCTCCAATACTTCCGCCAGTGTCGTCCTCAGCAGGTAGGAGATTCAGCGGGATATGCTCCTCGTGAGGATGAGCATCGCGCTCTGCGAGTGGAGCTGCGCCACCAGAGGTAATGGGGCCGATGCCTTATCTAGCCTCGACTGTGCTTGGGCGGTGCAAAAAGCAGGCGAGCCGGCTGGGCTGCCTAGAACCCGAATCCCGTCTGCGATCTGCTGCAGGCCGATAGGAGGTGCCGTGCCGACATCGTCCGCGAGGGTTTGTCCCCATGCTGATGATTTTGCGATGTTGCAGTGGAGGCCGAGTATTGCCAGCTCCCTTGTGATGGCCCCAAAGGCCTCGTAGCAGGCCTCCTTCGGCCCCACTATCGCTATGTCGTCAGCGTAGGCTACTATGGCGACTTCTGGTAAGAAGGTTGCCGTGCTAAGCAGGCACGGTTGAATCGCAGCCGCGAAGAGTAGTGGACCGAGCGGGTCCCCTTGACGCACATCTCGTGACGAGAGGATATGGTTCACCCCTAGACGCTCATCCACCAAGAGAGACGAAGGTGCCACATAGAGTGTTCTGACGAGAGGCATGAGCTGCAGCAAACTGGACTGGGAGAGAGCGTTGAAGAAAGCCGCCCGTTCGACGCTGTTGAAGGCGTTTTCTATGTCCAGCTGTAGCGCTACTCGTGTGTCGCCGTCTCTTAGTAGTGATCTGACGGAGTGTATGATACACTCAGCACCTCCCGGTATCGCCACCCCAAATTGCACCGGTAAGAAAAACTCTTTTATGTTGTCCGTTAAACCTCTCAGTGCTGCCTTAGCCACGACGCGAAGTATAGCTTCCCCTATCGCGATAGGGCGGACGCCTCCTCCTGGCTTTTCTAGGGCGATTAACAGTGAAGGCAGCAGCAGGTCGCAGGTCGATTGTGTTTGGAACGTGCTCAGCAGGCAAGTCACTGTCTTAGCGAGTAGGAAAAGCACCTCCCCGTTTGCCAGTGTCGGATCCTTGAGGTGTTCGAAATAGGTGCCTGATGGGCCTGCTCCAACCCCGTTCGGACATTTCTTGAGAATTTCGCGAAGCTCGTCCGCCGACACGCTGAGGGTCGAGCGGTTGAACCCGGTAACCAGGCCTGGTAGCGATGTTTTAGCTGGGGGGTGTTTCGCTTGGAGTGCCGTCAATGTTGCCGCCGCGGCTTCTGCGAGCGGTGTAGTTCGTAACGCTGCTACCGCTTTGGAAATATTTCCTTTCCGTATCAACCCCTCCGCCCTTGCGCATAAACCTGCATCGTCCGGTTGGTGTCGTACCGGACTCTCATTGTCGGGGATGACACACGCGTCGGTGTAGAGGGGCTGCCAGGTGCCGAGTTGGAACTGGTGCAGGCGCAGTTCTATTGCTGTCCACCGACTGCCTTCAACAGGTTCAGGTGCCGGACGTAGCGTCAGCCTCGGTAAGTACTGTAGGATCGCCCATGCACCTGGGCAGTCAGGATTTTTTGAGAGTCGAATAAGTGGCGCAAGGAGGCAGAGCGTGTAGCTCTCGAGGATCTTGGGCGGCATTCTGCGTACCACGAAGGGTTGATCCCCTTTTTGGAGTGGATATTTGTCCCACGTGGCTGCCAGCTCCCAGATGGAAGAGTCGTCCGCCAAGTCAGATGGTGATCTGGCCCCTGAGTCACTCTGTCCCTCATTTGGGGCTTCCTCGTTCACCCTCTCCTCCCGAGGGTTTCTCCTCTCCTCCCGTCGCCCTCGCTCCCCTCTCATTGTCCCCTCTCCTTCCTCTTCCAGTGAGATTTCTTCCGAGGGCATTGAGGCCGAAGCTTCATAATCCTCCCCAACCTCACCCCTTTCAGCCTCTGCTTCATTCTGAGTTGTGGGATCCGCCACCTGTTCAGGGCGATCGTGGCGTTCCCGCCACGTTCCCGAACGCAGCAGCGCCTCTCTTCCACCAATGATTGCGCCACCTCCTATCCATCCACCTCTTGCCCCGCGGGCTCCGCCTCTCCCCGCCTCGGCCCGCCGGGATCCACAGCGTGTTAGCCGGGACTGTCTGGTGACCTCGCGGTTGGCCCCAGGTAATCCCCTGGGCGCGTGTTGTGCTCCGTGTTTCACGGCGGGGTGTTTGTTGCGGTACTGTTTCTACTGCTGCAGCTGCTGGCAAGTTGTTGTTCACGGTGGTTGCTTGCCTAATGTCGTTCTCTGCTTCTATGCCCCCACCGCTCGTCCCCGCAGATGGCAATTGACGCCCTTGCGCTCGTGGCAACTGCCCTTGCAGAAGCCAGCCCAGGAGGGGTCCTGGGGGACCAGGTCCCAGCCCTGCTCCGGGCATCCTCGGTGCTGGCTGGGCTCGAAGCTTCTTCTTCCCTGCCTTCCCGCGGGCGGCGCAGGCAGCTACGCTGGGTCTGTGACCCCGCCTGTCACTCCCCTCCTGGCCGTGCCCCTGCGTGCTTGCGCCCTCGGCAGCCGCAGATGTTTCGGCGCTCCCAACGGCGGTCGGCTCATCCTCCTCGGCCTGGTCTCCGTCCTGTTCCCCTGCCGCCGCTGTCACTACCGCAGCCAGCACAGCCGCCGTTACAGGTTCCGGTGACACCACCAGCTCTGCCTCCTCTGTTTGTTCCAGAGCCACTGCCAGTCCCAGCACCTCTGGTTGCAATGCTTGGGGGATGGCAGAGGGTGAAGCTGAGCCGCCGCCAAAGGCAGCGACAAGCCCGCCAAGCTCAACTGCAACCGCCGCCCCAATCACCTCAGCAGCAACCACCTCCGGCCCCGCAGCATCTGCAGCCTCAACCGCCACAGCCGCCTCCGACTCAGTCGCCGTTGCGCCGTTTTCCACTGCCGCCGCGGCCGTAGCCGCCTCGCCCCCCGCCGTCTCCTATTCCTCCGCCACCTCCCCAGGTGCTGCTATTCCCTCCCGTCCCACCAGCTTCTCGTGCTGCTGCACGTATAGCTGGGACGCCTCTCCACGTCGAGCAACACGTAATGCACGTGGGGACGTGCTTGACACTGCTGTCGTACGTACTGGACCAGCTCCACGTGTGCTTGGCGTGCCAGGGTGTCGAGGTTGGGGGGATGATGCCATCGGAGAAGTCGGCGGCGGTGTCCGCGGCAACGGAGATGCTGCATTATCTCCCCCTGATCGGACTTGTCCAGGGCGCCCCTGGTGCAGCGCTCGGGCCCGGCCCTGGGGCGATGATGCGGCTTGCTGACTCTGGTCAGGGGGCCCCCCTCGGCCTTGTATCAGCAGCCGCATCCGTCCTTCGCTGGATGGACAGGAGGCTGTGCTGGATACTCGCCGAGTAGCGGGTGTATTCCCTGTGCCGGCCCCCTTAGTGGCTGGCCTGGCTTTGGGCTTCCCCATGGCGGCAGAGGCACGCCTGGGGGTGTTGTTGTTGTTGTGCGTTGTCTCTCTCTCTCTCTCAAGCGGTCCTTGTATTGATATAACGGGTGAGTACAAACAACCAAGGCAGCATAGAAAAAGGCAACACCAGAGACTAAAAGAACAACCTAGCAGCAAACCAGATCCTAAGAACATCCTACAACCCCGCCCCACCCCCCTCCACCCCCCCAAAGAAGCTCCTAAGGGAGCTCAGCAGTAGGCTCGAGCACCGCAAAACAGTCCCCCAGGGACATTTCCTCGCCAGGGGCCCCAACAAGAGGGTTCTGGGCCTCTGCTGCCATGTTGCACTTGGCCTTGTAGCTTACGGCCTGCGCTCGCTGAAGGGCGACCGACCATCTCTGGCGGAACTGGTTGAGTAGTTTTGCCGCCTGGTAGGTTGAAGGGTCGGCGTTGAAGAGCTTGCGTGCAGCCGTGTGAGCCAAGAGCTTGAGGAAAGCGGGGACCTCTGCGCATGGGCAGCCATAAGTCTCGACTGCGAGGGGTACGAATGAGACGTAGGCTGCCGGGGAGCCGCTGTAGTCTGAGATTTTTTTGTCAGCGGCTTCCCTGGCAGCCCACCCCCTTCCTTTCACCGCATTGGGGTCGCGCGTGCTGATGGGGTCAGTGATGGTGACGTCCCCTATCCACACTGCCCCTGAGGACCGATCACGAATGGTTAGGTCCGCTGTCTTCCTAGTGACCGGGCAGAACTCCGCCGTTTCCTTGTGCACCATGAACCCGGCGTACTGTGCCATCCTAATGCACTCATCCCTCAGCTCGTTGTGAGTATTTGTCCTTCCCCCTCCTGTGGCGCAGCGTAGCAGATGGTTTGGAAGCCGTTTGTCTGGGATGGGAACCTGTTTGGTGCAGTCACAAATGCCGGGGGCTGAAAATGGAAGTCCTAGCCTGAACTGGAGGGCTGTGGCAAAGTGGGGACCGTCAAGCCTCAGGGAGGGCATGAGCGGAGCTGCATGGAGCCAGTCCCCAGCTCCGTACCCTGACAAAGAGAGAAGGCGCTGCGTGTGGCCGCTATTGGGGTTTGGGGTCATGCTCCGTGTGCTCTCCACCTGGTTAGCATATCTCCTGCCTTGAACTGCCAAAGCTAGCCCCTGTTGCAGCTTCACACCCGTGGGAGCAGCCCTGTCGCTCTGTAGTAGCTCCCCTGCATCACTCGGTAGGTCTGCCTCACACCGAGCTAGCCAGCTGTAGAGAGCGCAGGTGTCTGTGTACGGCCCCATCATCTGCACCCGTGTTTCCGTCAGGGGCCCTAACTGGCTATCTTCAAGAGTTGAGAGCAGCTGCTGTGCCTGGGTAAAGCTAGCTAGGTAGCTGTAGCTGCCCTCAACCGCGGGGTCAGTGATTCCGAGGCCCCCAAGTGATACTGGCAGCGAAGCTTGGGACCATGTACGAGAGATTTCAGCATCACCCCGCGGATGCCTAATGCCACATGCTGTTAACAGAGTCTCAAACAGCTGCCTGCCCCAGCCGGACCACTCATTCAGAGGCAAATGCATGAGGGGTGTGGTCCGGGTGAGGTAAGAAACTCGTCTTGAGATACACCTGGAGAGTAGCAGGGCAGCCAGCTGAGGTTCCATCCGTGCTATCAGGCCGAGAGGTGCCGCCATGGAGCTAAGGTTTGAACGAATGAAGTCTGCTGTGGCCTCATCAGAGCCTATGAAACTGCCTAGCAGCTTCACGCCGTTTCCAGTGAACGGGACACCCGGAGGTAAGGCGGTGGTGGGGATGCCTGACTGTGACCAGGCCGCGCACTTGGATGGGTTATGATGCAGGCCAATTGTCATGAGGCTCTCTGTGAAGTGCTGAAACGCTGCTACGCAGGTAGATTGCTCCCCTAGGAAGGTGACGTCGTCTGCGTACGCTAGGCAGGCTACAGTAGGGAAGGCTTGGGCTGTAGCTTGTAACGCGGGATTGATTGCAGCTGCAAACAGCAGTGGCCCAAGAGGGTCTCCCTGCCGAACTCCCGTCATGCTCAGCAGGGGCTCATGCTTGAAGCCCTCGTCCAGGTAGAGCGGTGAGGGGGCCCCGTAGGTGAGCTGTACTAATGGCAGTAGTGGTGCTAGAGCCGAGTTGTCAAGCGCGGATGCTATTGCGGCTCTGTTGACACTGTTGAAGGCGTTGGCTAGGTCTGCCTGGAGGACTAGTGCAGAAGAGTTTTCAGATAAGTAGGCGCGGGTGATGTGAATTACCGCCTCCGCTCCCCCGGGCACTGCCACGCCGAACTGGTGTGGCATGAAGAATTTTCTCGCTGCCCCTGCTGTCAACATCAGAGCTGTTTTGGCGGCGAGTCTGGTGATGCTTTCACCAATAGCGATCGGCCTTGTCCCTCCGTCCGGTTTGGAGAGAGCCAGTAGGCGAGACGCTGTGAGGAGCGGCTCGGGGGGAGGGGGAAATGTTTGTAGATGCGGTTCGATTTCGGGAGCCGGCCAAGTTCCTCGATGCGGCTCGGCTTGGTGTTGCGATTCTCTCCCCAGGCAGGCACAATTCATCCTCGACTGCGTCTTCTTCTGAGGACTCGGCTACCTCTGTGGGAACATAAGTAGCGTCCCGTGCTTCTTCCTCTTCATTAGTTGCTTCTCGAGTTAAAGCCCTTCGCGCTGCTCGTTGGAACCCGTTCTCCGGTCTGCCGCTTCGTCCACCCGTGTTCTGCTGCCCCGCGCCTCGTCCTCGCCGAGATGCCTGTCGCGCTTGGGGACGATCTCGTGTATTCGCCAAGGCCCTTTGCCGTGGCGTCTGCTGTCGTTGCCCCTCCTGCTGTATCGGCACCGGCTCCGGCAACTGCGGGGATGTCGCCACCTCCCGATCCTGTGTCTGCGCCGTCGCCTGTGCCTCCTGCTGACCTGGCCCCTGCGCCTGTTGTGGCGCCACCTCCTGCCGTGGCGTCGTCGTCCGCGCCTGCTGTGGTGGAAGCCCCTGCTCCTGAAGTGGCGCACTTGGCTGCACGCGGTGACGCGTCTGCTCCTGCGCCTGCTGCGGCGACTGCTCCGGTACCAGCCGCGGTGTCTGCTCCTGCGCGTGCAGCTGCGTCTGCTCCTGCGCCTGCTCCTGCGCCTGCCGCGGCGTCTGCTCCGGCGCAACCTCCTGCGCCTGCTGCTGCGGCTTCGTATGCGGCTGCTGTGGCGGCCTCCGTGCCGCCACAGGCTGCGCCCGCCGGGGCGCCTTCTGCTACTGCTGCTGACCCGTCTTACCAGCCGCCTCCAGCCACCAGCGCCGTCCTGTACCAGGCGGGGGATGCCGTTTCGCCGTCGGCTCCTGCGTCATCCCCTGCTGCCCGGCCGGCTCAGCATCATCCATCCCCACATCGCCGACCCTCTCGTCCTCACTCACCCTTGCCGCGAGATGAGCGGGAGTCGTCGCGGCGCCGACGTGATTCTCCTCGGCGTCACCATTCACAGGCGAACTGGCCTGCCCACCGTGGCGGTCGCGGTGGCTGGAGGGGTGGTCGCGGTCGTGGTGGTGGCGGGGCGTATGAGCCACCGCTGACGCTTGCGGATGTGCAGCGGGTCGTTTCGGCTGCAATGCGCGAGGAGAGGGCCGAGCAGGCGAGCCGGAGCAGCTCGCGGCATGCCGCGCCGGCGCCTGTGGCTCCTCCTGCTGCACCTCCTGTGGCCGCGTTTCCTGCGGTTGCTCCTCCTCCTCCTGCTCCTGCTGCGTCAACCTCCGCACCTGGGGCGCACCTTCGGCTGCCGCGCGTGCCTCTTGTGGCGGGCCTGGAGGTTGTGTCCGCGGCGGGAGGAGTGGTGACGGCTCACCCGTCTGATGCTGCTCCATCTGCCGTCGCTGCTCACTTTCCTTTCCCTGCACTAGAGGCTCCTCCCCCGTAGGTGCGCGTGCCAGAGGCGACGCTTGGCCAGGTGTGGTGGCTCTCTGAGAGCCTGCATGCGCTCCTGCTGATTCAGGTGCAGGCGCACGCGTCTCTGACGCGGGCTCCCCTGGGTATCCTCCTTGACGGCCAACGGGAGGATTGCCTTGACGCGGCAGAGCAGCTCTCCCTCCTCCTGGTGCCCGTGTTGGCTGCGCCCACGCGGGGAGCCGTTGGGGCTGTGGGCCAGCTTGACGCTGCCGTTCGTGGTCTGCGGCGTTGTTTGCGCGCAGGGTCTGCAGCCGACGCGATCGGCGCAAGCTCGTTGGTAGTACAGGAGTTGTGGAGGTCCTTGACAGGGATTCTCGGTCCCCTTGAGGCGGATCGCATGTAGTTGCCGCCTCCTCGTGCTCCATTGCTTCGTCTTGCCTAGGAACTTGTGTGGCCTGCCATGGTTGTATGCAGTGTTGCGTATAGTTGCTTGTTGTTGCCTTTGACTTGTCGTCCCAAGCGCGCGGTCGAAGGCCGCGCTGTCGAGCGTCGGCCGCCGAAGGCGACCGGCGCGAGCGGCTCGGTTAGGAGAGCAAGTGAACGCTGAACTGAATAATGAGGCTCAAGGGCCAGGTCCTATGGCCTTTATACTAGGCTGGAGAGGGCTGGAGAGGCTAAGGACTAGGCCTCTCTCTCTCTCTCTCTCTCTCTCTCCTCTCTCTCCGGCTCGGTTAGGAGAGGGCAGAGGGCTAAAGGGGGAGAGGGCAGAGGCTAGGATCCTCTCTCTCTCTCTCTCTCTCTCTCTCTCTCTCTCTCTCTCTCTCTCTCTCTCTCTCTCTCTCTCTCTAATGGTCCGTGTATTGATAGAGTTTGAAGGTACAAACATGCAGGGTATATAGTGCAAGGTCTAGCTAACCAAATTGACAACCAAACAAACAAGGCAAACCAATCACACAACTACCACACCACCACCCTCTCTAGAGCTCCAGAAAAGGCTCAACCACCGCGAAGCAGTCCCCAAGGTGCATCTCCTGCCCTATGCCTCCTACAGGAGGGTTTTCTGCCGCCGCTGCCTCTCCCGGCTTAAGGAGGAGCCCCACGGACTGGGCCCTCTGAAGAGCCACCGACCATCTCTGACGGAACTGGTGTAGGAAATTGGCGGCATAGAATGATTTTGAATCGGCGTTGAAGTATCGCCGAGCCGCCGTGTCCGCTAAGAGTTTGAGGAAGGTGGGTACCTCCGCGCATGGGCAACCGTAGGTGTCTACGGCTAGCGGGAAAAAGCCAACCGTCTCTGGTCGGTTGGCGTAGTGCTGAATCTTTTTGTCAGCTTGCTCCCTGGCCGCCCACCCTCTGCCTTGTTGTGCCTCTGGATCCCTGGTGCTGATGGGATCCGTGACGGTGACGTCGCAGATATAGACCGCCCCACTGCTTCTGTCCGTCATAGTGAAGTCGGCTGTCTGTTCCACGACAGGGCAGTATGCGGCCGACTCTCTATGAACTATAAACTCGGCGTCTTGCGCCATGCTAACGCAAGCATCCCGCAGTTCGTTGTGGGTGTTGATGCGCTGTTTGCCTGTACCGCAGCGGAGGAGGTGATTCGGGAGGCGGGGGTCAGTGATAGCCGTGTGGTCGGCACAGTCGCAGTTTTTGGGGGTTGAAAACGGCAGCCCTAGTCGGAAACGCATGGCGTTGGCGAAGTGTACTGGACCTATCCGCCTGTCGGTTCGATGGGGATTGCAGCGAGCCAGTCGCCGGTGCCATAACCCATCAAAGAGAACATCCGCTGCGTATGGCCCTTGAGCGGATTCGGCTGCATACGCCTTGTCACCTGGACCTGCACGGCGTATCTGCTGCCGTGGACCTTAAGTCCGAGCACGTGTTGAAGCCTCACGTCAGACCGTTCGAGACGCTCCTTCTCGAGGATTTCTCGTGCATCTAGGGGCAGGGCTGTCTCGCATTCTATGAGCCATGTGTGTAAGGGCGTGTCGGTGTCCCGCGGCAGTAGCATGTGATTCTGCGCTTGTGCCAAGGCGTTCCGTGGGTCTAGCGCGAGGGAGGAGAGGAGCAGCGCCGCCTGTGTGAAACTCGCCGAGAAACCGTATATCCCCTCTATCAGGGGGTCAGTGATGCCTATGCCCCCTAGCGATGGCGGCAGGGACGCTTGATCCCAGACCCGCGCTTGCTCGGCCCTACACGTGGGGACGCGTATGTCGCACGATGTGAGCAGGGCGGTGAGAAGGTCCCTTCCCCACTGGCTCCATTTTTCGCGGGGGAGAAAATGCAAGGGCGTCGTCCTAGTGAGGTAAGCCACCCGTCTTGAGATACAGCGCGTGATGAGCAGTGCCGCTACTTGAGGGTCAGTTCGTTCGATAAGGGGTAGCGGCTTCGCCATCTCGTCGAGTTGACCCACTAGATACTTAGCTGCTCCACTATCCGGCCCCAGGAAACTACCCAGGAGCCTCACGCCGTCCTTGGAAAAAGGCACTCCATGCGGGAGTTGAGATTGCTTGACTGCACTTGATCGCCAGGCTGCGCACTTCTGCGGATTGTGCGTAAGGCCCAGTTGTGCCAGTTTGTTAGTGAAAGTGTTGAAAGCTGCTACAGTGTGGGTTGTGTCACCCAGAAAAGTGACGTCGTCCGCATACGCCAAGCAAAGCACGTCGGGGTGTGCTTCTGCAACTTCGCGGAGGGTGGTGTGTATCCCCGCTGCAAACAGAAGTGGGCCTAGGGGGTCACCCTGGCGAACGCCGCGTTCACTTGTCAGCGGTTCGGAGTTGAAGTTGGCGTCCAGGAGTAGTTGCGACTGGTTACCGTATGTGAGTTTCACTAGCGGTAGCAGTGGCGATAGGGCGGGATCCTATAACGTGGTGGCGATGGCTTCTCGCGAAATGCTGTTGAACGCGTTTGAAATATCCGCCTGTAGGACCAGGCTATCCGGGCGGGCATCCAAGTACGCCCTGGTTGCGTGGATTACCGCTTCTGCACCACCTGGCACTACCACCCCGAACTGTAGCGGTAGAAAGAATTCGCGGGCCGCCTCACCCGTGGCCTGTAGGGCAGCCTTGGCTGCCAGCCTCGTCAGACATTCGCCAATTGCAATTGGCCTAGCCCCTCCCCCCGGCTTGGCGAGGGCTATGAGTCGTGACGCAGTCAGAAGGTTCACGACCGAGCCTGGCAATTTTCCTCCCAGCATCGTGTTAACCAAGGCGTGCAGATGGGTGCTGACCATTGCATTGGTAATTGCCGCGTCGCGTAGGTGCTCGAATGTCATGCCTGACGGTCCGGCTCCCACCCCATTTTCGCATCTTCCCAGAATTTTGGCGAAGTCGGGGTAGGGGATTGGCAGCTTTGACCTTTGTGGCACGGGCCATGTCACTGCCTCGTGTTCAGCAGGTGGGTGCTTTTGGCGCAGCTCCTCCAATATTTCCGGGCTGGGAGTGCAAACTGGCATTGACTCCAGGGCCAGCACGGCCCGGCGCAAGCTGCCACGTTTCGCCAGGCCCTCCGCACGATTGATGACTCCTGTCGCATCTGGCTGGTGTTTTGGTGGTGGCGGTGTGTTGACTGCGTCCAACGCGTCCCGGTACAACTGCTCCCATTCGCCACGTTGGAAAGCCCGGAGCCGGGTTGCCTGATACACGTTCTCCGGCCCTCCGCCTGTCCCGCTTACAGCTTGTCTCCTAGTCCCGCGGCCTCCCCGCTCCTGCGATGGTGATTGCTGGTGCGCCTGAGCCGTCGCCAGAGCTCGTTGCCGCCTGGTCGGCTGCGGCCGCCAAGCCTCCGGCGGAGCCCGAAAGGGTGACCATGGCGACGAAGCCCCCTCTACCGCCGGCTCCGAAACCCTCGACAACAGTCTCTGAAAGGACTCCTCCCCACGCACCCGCGGATCCCCTTGCCGCGCAAGGGGCTGGCCCGTCTGCCCCTGCCGTTGTTCCGTCTGCTCCGCCTGCGGCCCTTGGCCCCCCGGCTCCCCTTGTCGAGCCGTCGGCGTCTGCCCCTGTTGGGGGTGTTGCTGATCCCCCTGCACCTGTCCCTGGCGCCCCTGTTGCACCGCCCGCTTTTGTCCCCAGCGTGCCTGCTCCGGCCTCTGCTTCGTCACCGAAGGCGGCGTCCGCCACCACTGGCGGACCGGCTCCGCTGGTTGCGCCCTTGGCGGCGGGTCAGTCCGCACCTGCTGTGACGCCGATGGCCCCGGCAGGTCAACCGTCACGCCCTCCGTCACCTGACCGTCGCTCGTCGCGCCCCCATTCCCCCGTGCCCCACCAGGAGCGCAAGTCGTCTCGTTGCCGTCTTGAGTCCCCACGGCGTTACCAACAACAGTCGCACTGGCCGGCTCACCCCGGAGGTCAGGGGGATTGGAGGGGTCCCCGTGCTCGTGGCGGGGGTGGGGGGTACCGCCCGCCCGTGACGATGGCGGATCTTCAGCGGGAAGTTTCGAGGGCGGTTCGTGAGGAGAGGGCGGCGCAGAGCCAGAACAGTTCGATGCGCGCCTCGCCTGCCCACGAGGCTCCTCGTCCGGCCGCGCTCCCCGCGAACCCGCAGCCTGTTGCTGCGCCTCCCCCTCAGATGCATGCGCCGCCAGTTCTTCTACCGCTGTTTCGGCACCTGCTCTTGGCTCTCGTCTCCATCTGCCGCCGGTTCCGCCCGTTGCGGGAGTGGAGTTTGTGGCCGCGGGTGGTGGCGCGGCGGCGGCTCCGTATGCTCTCCATGTTGATGCTGAGGAGCCGCTCCAGTTCCTGGCGGAGGCACTCCAGCCTCCGCAGACCCGTGTTCCCGAGGCGACACTCGGCCAGCTCCACCGCCTCGCGGAGAGTCTCCACGCGCTGCTGCTGATTCAGGTCCTTGCTCACTCCTCTCTCCCCGTGATCCCTCCTGAGACCTTCCGTGGCCGCCAGCGTGACACTTGCCTGGACGCCACGGACCAGCTTGCAGTGCTGCTGGCGCCCGTGCTGGCTGCGCCCGCGGAGGGTGGCGCTGCTGCTGCGGGACAGCTTGACGAGGCTGTCCGGGGCTTGAGGCGGCACTTGCGCACAGGATCTGGAGCCGCGGCGATCGGCGCAAGCACGCTTGTGGTCCGGGAGCTGTGGCGCTCCCTAACGGGCGTTCTTCACGCCCTTGGAGCTCACCGCATGTAGACGCGGGCTCCGTTTGCCCCATGCTTGGTTTGCTTGGCTAGGCTACCGTAGCAAATGCCATGCTTGTACTGCCTTTGATTATGAACCACTGTGTGTGTTGTCACTTGCCGTCCCCTCACGTGCGGCCGAAGGCCGCGCCGTCGAGCGTCGGCCGCCGAAGGCGGCCGGCGCGAGCGAAAAAATATAATAAAAAATTCTGCACCAACTGAACAATGAGATGAAGAGGCCCAGCGGGGCCTCTTATATAGCTCCCAAAGGAGAGGGCAGAGGGCTAAAGGGGGAGAGGGCAGAGGCTAGGATCCTCTCTCTCTCTCTCTCTCTCTCTCTCTCTCTCTCTCTCTCTTTCTCTCTCTCTCGTTCTCTCTCTCTCGCTCTCTCGCTCTCGGTCTCGCTCTCTCATTCCTTCCGTCCGTCCTTCCTTCTTTCCTTCCCTCCCACCTTTCATACTTCCTTCCCTCCTTCCTTCATTATGCTTGCTGCTTCCGTATTTTCCTTCCGTATTCTGCTTCCATTTTATGTCAAACTTATATGTTGCATGTTGTGTGGGCTGTAGTGGTTGTACCCCATATGGGCTACCCCACTACAGCCTACACAACATGCAACATATAAGTTTGACACACCCCCATAGGCAAATTGGGGGAGAACAAGAGGTCACAAGACCAGTCAAGAAAAGCAAAGCAAGCTCAGGGTGGATCACAAAGTCACCACACACTCCGAGCACAAGCAAAATGGCCACAAGGCCAGTCCATATGCAGAGTTATAATAGAGAACAAGCAGTACAGTGATCAAAACCTAACAAGTGCAAGCACGCATGTATGTGTATATAGATCACAGTACAAGCAAAGTTAAGAAGTGAGCAAGTGAGGCCAAGTAGGTACAAGGCTGAAGTGCCTTGGTGAAGATATCAGCAGTGTTGGCCCGAGAGGCCATGTAAGCAAGACCAAGCTGACCACGCTGCTGCAACTCTCGAGCAAGGAAGTAACGCAGAGCGATGTGCTTCGTTCTGTACTCCAGTCTATGGTCCTGACACAAGGAAATCATGGCCTTGTTGTCGACGTACAGAACTGGAGGAGAACGAGGCGGCTCTCCCAGTCGGTTAGCAGGTAGGTGAGCCAGCGTAACTCCTGTGCAGCCATGGCCCCTGCGTAGATCTCAGCCTCACAACTGGAACTGAGAACAGAAGACGAGCGGGTAGACCGCCAAGAAACAGAGCCGGAGCCAAGCCTGAAAGTGTAACCCTGTGACGACCGCTGCGTATCCAAGTCGTCAACCCAAGAAGCGTCTGCGTGTCCAGTGAGGACAAGACGACCCCGTCCTCCAGGCACGAGCCCCATGCCCGACGTACTGCACACGTAGCGCAACACCCTCTTAGCGGCCTTCCAGTGCTCTGGTCGGTGTCTCCCGGGCATAACATAGCATGCCAGGATGCTGAGAGGGTAGGCTAGGTCAGGTCAAGTGCAGGTTATCAGGTACATGAAGCAGCCCACAAGCTCTGGATACGGGCCACTCGGCTCTACGGACTCATCCTAAGGTGGAGCTGAGAGCGAGTGACCGGTAGGCAGAGGAGTGGACTGTGGCGAGGAGTACTGGAAGTCGAAGCGCTGAAGGACCTGCTGCACCATGTGTGACTGAGTCAAGGCAATGGTGCGTCGTGCTCTGTCCCGGGTGATCTGCAAGCCAAGATAGCTGCGCAGCTCACCCAGATCTGTGCACGTGTGTCTCTTCTGCAGCTCTGACTGTGAGAATAGCAGCTAGAAAGTTTGAACAGAGAAGAGGAGTTTGCACTAGCAGGCTGTTGAGTACATATAGGAAACCCTAATTTGGGCTATACTCGCTATAGAGTACCCCACTGCAGGCTAGACAAATATCACATTCTGACACACCCCCATAGTCAAAGTGGGGTATAATCAGCACAGCAAGCAGTCATAGAGCAGGTTCACAAATACAAGCAAAGCTAGAGGCAGTCACAGAGGGCAAGTGAGGAGGAGGAGGCGGGACTGTGAGAGGAGAGGAGATAGGAGGCGACGGGTGATGCTGCAGACACACGGGCAACAGGAGCGGCGCGCACGGTGGCTACCGGAGCAAGGGCCCCAGACTACAGGAGTAACTGGCTCTGCGGCTAACTCCGAGCGGCAGGAGCAACGGACCCACGGGCAACTGGCGCAGCAGGCTCGCTGGGCTACCGGAGATTGTAGCCTCCGGACTACTGGCGCTGCTGGCGACACGACGGCTACCTCCGCCCAACCTCCCCCAACTGTCCCACCCCCCTTTCACACACCCCTTACTGCACCCCTAGCTCCACTCCCACGTCACCCCCCTAGCACCACTCCCTCGGCTCCCACACACCCACCCCCCTCAGCGGCAGCTGCAGTAGTGGGAGACGGAGGAGGAGCAGGGGACGGCTCACACACCCGCCACCCCCATACCCGCCACCCCCACACCCCAAACGCAGGCGGCGTGGGGTAGAAACGCGGGAAGCAGTTGGGGTGGCGTGCGAGCAGAAGCGGGGCAGCGCGCGGGCCCTCGGGGCGTTGCGACGGGCGACGGGAGGGGGCGACGCGCGGGCCCCCAGGGCGCCGCGACGGGCGACGGGAGGGGTGGCGACGCGCGGGCCCCCAGGGCGCCGCGACGGGCGACGGGAGGGGTGGCGACGCGCGGGCCCCCAGGGCGCCGCGACGGACGACGGGTAGGGCAGCGCGCGGGCCCCTTGGGCGCCGCGACGGGCAACGGGAGGGGGCGACGCGCGGGCCCCCGGGGCGCCGCGACGGCGGGCAGGAAACCGCCACGTGCCCCGAGGGCGCGGCGGGAAGAAAAAACGCTGCACGCGCCAGGCGCGCGGCAAGCAGAGAACGTCGCTCGCCCGGGGCGTGCGACAGGCAGTATAGCAGCCAAAGCATCGGGTGGGCCCATCCACAGGATCGACCAGGGAGGGTCGACCTGCTCTAACAGCATGTGAGAATCCCAGCCACTAACCATTGGGATAAAATGGCTTGTTAAGTTGCGGGTCAGTGCACCCATAACCCCCCATGACAACGAGTCTGTAACCCTTCCCTAAGATCAATCGGGGATCACCAGTGGACCTCTAACACCCCCCCGCACTGGGATGCCCGAAGTGCACACACTGGGATTCGAACCCGAGACCTTTGCTCTGATACCATGTGAGAATAGCAGCTAGAAAGTTAGAACAGAGAAATAGAGTTTGCACAAGCAGGCAGTTGAGTACATATAGGAAACCCAAATTTGGGCTATACTCGCTAAAGAGTACCCCACTCCAGGCTAGACAAATATCACATTCTGACACCGACTTCACTAGAGCCAGTCCCTCAGTGTCAGCAGTGGCAAAGACCAAGTCGTCGACGTACACGAGGATGTAGAACGGCGGCAGTGAGGTGTCGGTGCGTAGAAACAGCGACGGGTCAGCAGTCGAAGGAGCAAACCCAAGAGCCGCAAGAGTCGTCCTCAGTGTGTCGTGCCACTCGCGAGGCGCCTGGCGGAGACCGTAGACTGGCCGCCGGAGGCTCCACTGGGTACCTGCAGGAAACGACCCAGTGAAGCCAGGTGGGCGGCGCAGCCAGATCTCCTCGTGCAGGCTGCCCTGTAAGAAAGCTCTGCTGAAGTCAAGAGAGTGAAGCTCGTAGTCACGCTGAGCGGCGACGTGCAGCAGTACCTAAAGAGTAGTCATCTTTGGGGTAGGGGAGAAGGTATGGAGGAAGTCAACTCCCTGTCGCTGACTGAAGCCTCGTGCAACGTAACGAGCCTTGAAGGCAGGCGGAGAACCCGGCCACCGCTTCACCCTAAAAATCCACATGCCATCGACTATGTTTGCCCCAGGAGGGGGAACTGCGTCGACGTAAGTGCCTGTGGACTTCCAGGATGCCATCTCTGCGTCCATGGCTGACTGCCACTGAGAGGAGTAGGGACCCGTAATCGCCTCTGTGTAAGTGCGCGGGGTCGGGATGTCTGGTGCATCCGGGTCTCCCTCAGATGCAATCAACATGGACACGAGATGAGGTACAGCAGCTGCAAAGCACTCAAAGTCCTCCTACCTGTCCTCAAGGACGTCCGTGCCAAGAGAACACTCACCCCCGACGGACGGAGGACAGACAGATGCAGACTCAGCAACAAGACTAGCGGCGTAGTCTAGACGACAGGCGGCAGCAAAGTCAACAAGCTCAGCAACCAGGGCAGACGTAGTAGTGGACTGAAATGAAGGGTCAGTGACAACAGTGGCCAGAAGACGTGTGACTGTAGGACTAGCAGCACGAAAGAAGTAAGAGTCAGGGTCTAGTCAGTCAGCAAGAGAGGATGCAGGAGGAGACAGCAGGGGAACACGATGTGGAACAGAGGAAGGACGAAGTGCCATATGGTGCATGCCGGGGACAAGAGGAGGACGCTGACGCGGAACACGACGACCAGTGCGAACAGCGCGAACAGGCGAGGCAGGACGAGACGCAGGCTCACGACGCTCCGCAAGACCTCCAGTCTCCTCAGTGTAAAGAGAAGGAGCAGGCAGTGGGGAGGCTGGCTGTAACTGTGGCTGCGACGGGTCAGGCGGTGGACATAGTAAGGGAGGAGAAAGGTCAGTAGAAGACGGGAGACCAAGAACCTGCTCAAGCAGTGGAACGAAGTACGGTCGCGGCTGCACAGCGCCCCCAGAACCAGCACCAACAGCACCAGCACCCCCAGGGCCAGCGCCTCCAGCTCCGGGGTCTCCAGCTCCAGGGTCTCAAGCTCCAACACCAGCAGCACCACCAGCTCTAGCAGCTCCAGTACCTCCAGTACGAGCACCTCCGGGACCAGCGGCTCCAGTACCTCCAGCAGCTCCAGCTCCAACTCCTGCAGCACCCCCAGCTCGAGTAGCTCCAGTACCTCTAGTAAGAGTACCTCCGGAACCAGCAGCTGCAGCACCTCCAGCACCTCTAGGACCAGCAACTCTAGCACCTCCGCTACCTCCAACGGCAGCGCCTCCAGCTCCAACTCCTGCAGCACCTCCAGCTCCA